ACGGCTAGTACTGGGAAACCGAGTACTACTCAGTCTACTGCTAGCACTGGGAAGACTACCGTCAGCACTGGCAAATCAACTACGGCTAGTACTGGAAAACCCACTACCCAGTCTACCACAGCCAGCACTGGAAAATCTACCTCGGCCAGTACTGGTAAAGCTTCTACTACCCAGTCCATTGTGAGCACTGGAAAATCTACGACCGTCAGCAGTGGAAGGTCTACTCGCAGTACTATTAGCAGTGTTAAAGCCTCAACAACTGCTAGCACTGAAAAATCTACTACGCAATCAACACAAAGCACTGGCAAATCTTCCACCATTAGTACTGGTAAAGCCTCTACAACCGTCAGTAGCGGCAAAACTTCCACTGCTAATACCAGTAAACCCTCTACAACTGTCAGTGCCAGTAAAGCTTCTACTACCTTAAGTACTGGCAAGGCTTCTACTACTCTAAGTACTGGTAGATCTTCCACTGCTAGTACCGGTAAAGCTTCCACCACCTTAAGTACTGGTAAATCGTCCACTGGAATTACGGGGAAGGCCTCCACTACTCTAAGCACGGGTAAGACTATAATTCTCAGTACTTCTAAGACTTCGAGCGTTGTAAGTACTAGTAAGCCATCGACTACTGCAAGCACTGGGAAGATCTCGACCACTGCGACCCTAAGCACCGGCAAGGCTTCCACTACTTTGAGTACTGGCAAGACTATATCTGTCAGTACTGGAAAGACTTCAAGCGGTGTGAGCACCAGCAAGACTTCAAGTGTTGCAAGTACTAGCAAGGTATCAACCACTGCTAGCTCAGGCACAGGCAAGGCTACCACCACTTTGAGTAGCGGCAAAGTCTCTTCAACTCTAAGCACTGGCAAGACGTCCAGCGTTGTGAGTACTAATAAACCATCGACCACTGCGAGCACCGGCAAGACTTCGAGCACAGTTAGCACTGGTAAGGCATCAACAACAAGTTCAACCAGAGCCTCCACCACGCTGAGCTCTGGAAAAACTTCTGCATCCACAGTGGTGTCATCCTCGACAAGGGTTTCCACAATTATCTCGAGTGGGAAGCCAACGACGAGCAGCGCCGGCACTACGAGAGCATCGACATCGTTGTCAACTGGCAGATCGTCTACTCCTGGAACCTCTACTAAACAGACAACTTCATCACAAAAGACGATAGTTTCCTCCTCTGCTCAGTCGACGACGGTGAAGAGCTCTGCATCTACCGCGAAGATATCTCAGACGACAGTGAGGTCGTCTACGTCAGTTGCACCTACCTCTAAATTTTCCTCGACAACCGTGAGGAGCACTGCTTCCACTGCACTAACATCCGGTACTGGCTCTAAGACTTCGTCAACAGCTGTGAGAAGCACGGTGTCTAGTGAGAAGTCGTCCCAAACAACACAGAAGACGACCTCGGCCAGGACGACATCAAAAGTGACCTCCTCCCAAGCAACCTCGAAGAGCAGTGCAGCAAGTTCTCAATCAACGAAACCCACAACTACAGCAGCAACTACAAAGTCCCAGACTGCATCGAGCAAGAGTTCCGCATCTACCAGCAAAGCTACAAGCTCTGGATCAGTAAAACCTTCCACTACAGGACCAGCTTCAACTTCTAAATCTACTCAATCGTCTTCACTAGCTACCTCGAAATCCTTGACTAGTCTATCATCTGCCAGTAAATCTGCAACTCTCACTTCGACTCAAACTGGTACCAAGTCAACATCAGGAGTAACAACGTCCTCCAAGACGCCCTCGACTTCGAAATCGGCCACAGCTTCAACCAAATCAACACTATCTACAACAAGATCCTCAAGCTCTTCCATTACACAAACCTTAAGCAAGAGCTCTACTGTTACTAGCACTTCTTCGAAGGCCTCCACGACAACGAAATCGTTCTCAGCTTCTACGAAGTCAGCAACTTCCGCTACTCCAACTTCCTCTAAAGCAGCCAGCTCAACAACAGCGAAGTCATCAGGGTCCACTAGGTCATCAACATCTACGAAGCTTGCATCATCCAGCCAGAGTGTTTCTGCTACTCAATCAACAACCGTTCTCTCTTCCAAGACATCGGTGTCCGGAACTAAAACCTCAACTGTTCCAGCAAGTTCCAAGACTACGCAATCTACAAGTTTGTCAGCAACGGCTACATCCCGCTCAAAGAGTACGAACACACCTTCTACATCCAAGACTTCGTCTCAAGCGGTTGCAACTTCGAAATCGTCGGCTTCTGTTCTGTCGTCCAAGACAACCACTGCGATCAAGAGTACTTCCACTGCTACGCTCTCTTCGTCTAAGACCTCAAGCAAGTCAACTTCCAGCCAAGGGTTCTCAACTTCGGTTGTCAAGTCTTCAAGCACGGCGAGCAAACCTAGTACAAGCTCCCCGACCACTAAGACTACTAGCCAGTCCTCCAAATCTTCTGGGTCAACCGTTCCCTTTACCAAGACTAGTAGCAAGTCGAGCACCGTTGGTACGAATACAAAGCAAAGTACTACCGCTCTATCTTCGACTGTCACTACCTCCAAAGCAACAAGCAGCATTGCCACATCTAAGCCCACGACCACGCTTTCGATTCTGAAGTCATCAAGTACTGTGATAAGCACTTCGAGTGCACCTCAGTCCTCAAGGGTGACGACAAGCTCGGCCCAAAGCAGTAAATCTGCGACTACCTCTACTAGATCTAAACCTTCGTCAACGACCGTTGCTTCGACACTGAAGTCATCTCACTCTTCGACAATTAAGACGACATCCACGGCATCCCGACCCTCATCGACCAAAGTAACTTCAAGCACACGTGTTGGTTCGTCAACTACGCAGACTGATAGATCTACGAAGATCTCTTCCAGCTCGAGTGGAAAGGCAAGCTCCAGCACACCGTCAACGTCATCAAAGCCGACGACCTCTTCTAATGTCAAGACCACCACTTCTTCGGTAGCATCTACCGCATCTAGGTCAAGTTCAGTCAAAGCTAGCTCGTCCTCGACCAACTCTGCTCCATCATCTTCTAAGATCTCCAGCACCTCGAAGCAAACTGTTTCATCTACAAGCAGAAGCACTTTCGCATCTACCAAGTCTTCGAGTGCCACGCAGTCGCAGAGTAAGACGTCCGCCTCAACCAAGTCCAGCACCTCGCTAGAAACTTCAACGAGGGCTACTTCTACTCCAGCTGTGTCCTCTTCGAAGACAGTGCCTTCCAGTAGCAGTCGGACAACATTAAGCACTCTCACTCGATCCACATCAAGCCTGTCTGCTAGCAAATCGTCATCCTCGGCACAAAGCTCTGCTTCGACCAAGAGCTCATCTACTGCAAATACCAAATCGAGTGTCAGCGTCTCGAAAACGACTACTGCGACACAGCTATCGTCAACTCGCTCTACGGCTGTCTCCAAGTCATCAGCATCCTCTACAGGTCCTACCACGAGTTCAACTAGAACCTCAACGGCATCTGCGTCTAAATCATCGGTCTCTTCGGCCGGCGTTACTACCAAGACAAGTAGCGTAGCGACGGTCTCGAAGACTTCCGCTACTTCTACCGGTCTCACCACTAGATCAACCAGCCCTTCTGTTTCTAGCTCCAGTACTTCTTCAATCGCCACCACTGGTAGCAGATCAACGACTCAGTCTACCATTCCAACAAGCACTCGTTCATCTTCGGTTGCCTCGAGTACTAGAACCTCTTCCGCGCGCCCATCTGCAACTACGAGCCAATCGAAACTCTCAACAAGTCCTGTCGCTTCAACAAAAACCACTGCTTCTGGTACCAAATCTACTTCGCTATCCTTAGCATCTTCAAGGACCTCTACAAGCATCGCTACTAGCTCAGCAACTGCCACAACTAGCAGTCGGTCAACCCTTTCAACTACACATGCCACCAGCTCCAAGACCTCAGCCACCAGCAGCTCAATACCAGTAGTTTCCACTAGCTCTGGTAAGTCGACAACCAAGGTTTCCTCGACGTCGCATGCTTCCAGTACAGCGTCAAGCAGCGCTTTAAAGTCCAGTACTACTAGTGTAATCTCGACAGCTACTTCCCGTTCTTCGACTGCTTCGGTTTCATCAGCTTCTACCACAAACAAGATATCTACATCTTCACAAAGAAGCACAACTAAGCCCACCACCAGTGTTACAGTATCTACTAGCCGCGCTACAGGCTCTAGCAGCACATCCACGCTGTCCAAGGCCAGCTCTACCACCAAAGCTAGTTCAATATCTAGTACTGTAAGTACCTCTACAGTATCTAAGGCCAGCTCGACCACTAGGGCTGCAAGCACATCGACCACTAAGGCTGCAAGCACAACATCGACCACTAAGGTTGTAAGTACATCATCCACCAAGGCTGCAAGCACATCCACCACCAAGGCTGCAAGCACAACATCCACCACCAAGGTTGCAAGCACATCGACCACTAAGATTACAAGCACAATATCAACAACCAAGGTTGCAAGCACGTCGACCACCAAGATTATAAGTACATCGACCACTAAGATTGTAAGCACATCATCCACCAAGGCTGCAAGCACATCGACCACCAAGGCTACTAGCACGTCTACTATATCCAAGGGCTCCTCAACTACCAATGCTGCTAGCACGTCTACTGTGTCCAAGGTCAGCTCGATGACCAAAGCTACTAGTACGTCTACAACTAAAGCTGCCAGCACATCTACAGTATCCAAGGCCTCCTCAACCACTAATGCTGCAAGTACATCGACTACTAAGGCTACAAGTACATCGACTATTTCTAAGGCTAGCTCGACCACTAATGTCGTAAGTACGTCTACAGTATCTAAGGCCAGCTCGACAACCAAGGCTCCAACCACGTCTACGACCAAGGCTACAAGTACATCGACTGTCTCTACGGCCAGCTCGACTACTAATGTCGCAAGCACTTCATCTACGAGGGCTGCAAGTACCTCGACTGTCTCCAAGACCAGCTCGACCACCAATGCGGCAAGCACATCGAGCACCAAGCCTACCAGCACGTCTACCAAGAGTAGCGGCGTATCCACTGGTCAAACATCCGCCTCGTCAACATCGAGTGGTGGAGTCCGTACCTCACAGACAACAACCGCACAAGTGACAAGTAGCACTAGCTCTGCAGCGTCTACCGGTAAAACCACGACATATGTTGCATCGACCACCATCAAGACTACAGGCACTACCTCAACAGGTATTGTCAGCACCAGCAAGACAACTAGTCAGACTACGGCTCAGACTACTTCTACTAGTCGTGCTAGTACTGGAACGACAACTGCCCAGACCACTTCTACCATTCAAACTACTTCTACCGACCAAACTAGCACTGGAAAGACTACAGCTCAGACCACTTCAACCGGCGTTGTTAGTACTGGAAAGTCAACAATCGCAACCACATCTACAGGAGTTGTCACCACAAGCCAAACCAAGTCTACGACGGCGGCACCAACTACTAAGACATTGTCCCATACCACCCCATACCCTGTTAAGTCCAGCAAGTGGTCTACCAAGACAAAACCGACCAGGCCAGTCGCATCAACCACGAGTCATGAACACAACAAGCCTTCCAAGACTACATCTTATCATCCGCATGCCACGACCACCAGCGCACACAGCTGGACACCTAAGCCTACTCCTCCAACAAGCACCACCACCGGGGTGCCATTCGGAGGATGGCTACCATGGAACCAGCAGCGCCCTCGACCCACACCAGGAAGTAACAACGAAAACCCAGGTGCATCATGGTGGTATGACCATGGGCAACCATCCAACAGTAATGGCCACGACAATGGCCCAGATGACGATGACCATGGTGGGTTCTCCTCATTCTGGAGAGGTGGCTGGAGGGATTGGAATCAAGATTCCAACGAGAATGGAGGAAACAGTGGTGAGCGCCCCAAGAATGGTCCATGGTGGGCCCCGGCGAGCTGGGGCAACGACAAGGACAGACATGACAAGTCACAAGGCCCTTGGTGGTGGAGAAATTGGAATAACCGCGATTCCGATAATAGCAAGGCGGCTGCAGACCAGGGCCCCGACTGGATTGCCTCGAAAGTTGATAATGATGCACCTAAAGTCCGAAGGGGAAGGTATATGGTGAGACGATGAACACAGTGGTGCTCTGATCCCACCAACTCGTTCGAGTCATTCCGTCAGGTTTCATGAAGGAAAGGGGAAAAGTCGACATCTCATGTCTACAGGAGGAATGCCACAAGGCATTGAAGGTTCCTTGGGAACCAGGGTGAGGAATTTTCCACGTTTTGACTACCATTATGGAAGTCTTTCTTACTTACTATTTCTTCGAGACTATCCTTCATAATTAGTTTAGGTGTTTATGTTAGTTAATGTCTATGCCTCAATTGGACTGGGTTCATGGAAATGGTCTTAAGCTTCTGGCAGTACTGCTACAACTTTCAAAGAATCATGCCACTCCTCTAATCAGTGCGACTTGGATTGTTTGAGCGAAGCAGTCATTAGAGGGATGGGCAACAAGGCGTAGTGGAATGGCTTTTGCGACGGTCACGGTGCACTTTGCATCGAGCAGAGGACTGAGAGAAGAAGGAATGATTCAAAGTGGTGCACGCTGCTCCTCTCTTATGACTCAAGTACGAATTAACAGTATAGCTAAATGAACCCTCAATCAAGCCGTTGCCGTCCCTGTCCCCGTCTCAAGCTTCAAGCAAACTTGGCATCTCCCATGCCTTGCAGCTCCTCTTCGGTATACTCGTCCCTCCGCTTATAACCCAGGCCAAGGATGCCGTTGAGGCCGTCCTGCCGCCCGAGCGGCGTCATGTCCAACCACAACAGCGTCCCGATCTGGGCCTCCCCGCCCCTGGCATAGGTGCTGTACGTATGATAGATCTTCCCTTCCTCGCCGATGCCCAGACCGCCCTTGACGAACACGGAATGCCCGGGCTGCTCACCCCTGGTGAAGTGGTCCATTTTCCTCTTCTTGAGCTCCTCCATGTTGAGGAAGTTGTACTCCACCGGCTTCACGGCCGGGTCCGACGTGACGTTGAAGTCGAAATTGAAGTCCGTGCCGTGCGAACTCACCCACGGAAACGCGAAGTTCAGGCGCTTCTTGTACGCCGCGATCTTGTCGATGGGGGCGCGCGACACGGCTACGAAGGAGGTGTTGTGCGAATGAAGGTGCTCCAAGGGCGGGATGTGGTCGCCAAAGAGTGTGCATGACGAGCACCCCGCCTCGTTCTCGGGCCCGAACATGAAGTGGTAGATGATCAGCTGGGGGCGCCCGTCGAAGAGGTCTTCGAGGGCCACTTCCTTCTGGATGCCTGAGGCGTCCACGCTTTGGAATTTATAGGGCTTAGTTATTTCGGTTGCTGGAAGGGTTTTTCGCAGGTTTGTCAGTTCGTCGCGTTGCCGGGTGTGGGCTTTCTCTTTCTCGAGGAGCTCCAGGCGGAGCTTGAGATACTCTGAGGGTTCGACGACCTGGTTTCGGAGGTTCAATATTAGTTGGGAAACCATCTACTGCTTTTCATTTTATACCACACCAGATGGGCGTACCTTAATTGCCATGGTGATATAATGTCTGATCTTGATATGGGCGAGGATTAGTGTAGATGTGTAGTGAGTTATCGAAGTCAATGAATCTTTGGATGGGTCTTTTTTTGGATTCGATTGCTGAACACAACATGAAGCCACTTGGGAGCTCTATTATATATATCTCTGTGGTCTCTTTCACCGAACACCCACCTATCCGTGCTCGTATTCCACAAACGGTGGTGAATACGAACGCGGTGAGAATTCCCCCGTGCCCGACCGCTGGAACATACTTGTACATCCTCAGTTCGACGGCCATCACGGTCGAGCAGTATCGTCTGGTAGGAGCAGGAGCCAACCCTTTGTGTCGGCTCGAACTCTAACGGCCAGGTGGCCAGGCATCTCCGCGTACCCCGCCATTCAGCATCGAGCGGGAACGCGGAGTCATGTGAGTTGGCGTTGGCAACCCCTGTCAGTCTGCCTGGCTGTGGCTGGCACACCTCGTCATTCATGTGCACTGTGCCTGGGTTTCTAGGCGCCAATAACGCCGGTTGCATGGTCTCGCTGTATTTTGTGTCAGTCGTGCTGTTTAGAGCTGATAAATCAGTATTATCAGGAGTCGGGTTGAATACTCAACATTTAGATATCGGCCAAGGGTGCTGCAATCGACCGCGACTAGGAATGAGATCAGGCAGTGCAAATCTGGAACGGCAGAGGGCCCTAGAATGTAGCACAAGCAGGCCTTGCTGCCCGGTATACTTGCCAATTAGCGCCGTAGCTCTAGAACAAGGTGATAGTCCTGGTATGAGTGCTGCGGTCACAGAGGAACGGCTGCCAGGGCCCTGGCACCGAAGTCTTGATAGCATGAGTGCTTTGCATATCAAACCAGGCACAGGTCTCCTCAACTGGGCTTCTGCTACCGAGGACACTAGACTACACTGTAGAGACCATTCACTAGCTGACTGATGACGACAGAGCCATAAGCCGCACTAGGGGATTTCCTATTGGAAAAGGTAATCAGACTGACGCGCTGAGATGCAATAGAACCACGAGAATAGGCGATCCTCGACTCGACGTGGGAGGCAAACTGGTCCAACGAACTGCTCATTGAGTTGATAATTGCGCACCACGAGAGACACCTGCATCGAGCTGTGAGTGGAGTGAAAGACGTCGATGTTTGAAGGTCAGGCCTGGTTAGTGGAACGACAGGCTATGGTGTTTGCCAGAAAATGAACAGTTCACCCAGAGTGATGCTTCTGGAAACCTCCATTGTAGGTCGCCTGAGAGATGCGCTTCGGAGAATTGTAAAGCCGAGAAGGCTGTTGCACCCCCTCGGTACTGTATGCCTGCGTCCTCGCCGCCCCCGGTACCCAGCAGACCTGTCGATGGGGTTCTCATCTCATAAAGGGTTGAAGATCCTTTGTACCAAGAATTGGAACGCTTGGACACTGAGAAACTAAAATGAAAAGGCCGGGGAAGGGGCAAGTTCGGTAGTGGCCTGGCTGATACCTGCCCAGGGTATCATCAAGTCCACTCATGTTTCAAGGGTGGTTACCAATTACTTGGCAATTGGCCGGGAGATAACGTCGCTTGGGTCAAATTGAGGCAAGAGAACTCGCTAGAGAGAAAAGGGGACAGTTCAATTCTACCGGGTTTTCAAAAAATTCGTCCTCTTCGTTCGATCTCTTCTAGTTTTTGTTATTTGGCTGTCTGCCTCCCAGCCCCGAACACCTAATACGTGGTGTTTATGGGAACATGAGGGGGGATGGCCTATCTCATATTGTAGACATAGATGATCCCGCAAATCCGTCTCCAAGCGACGGTTAAACGGCCTTGGTTGGCAATAATCCTGTCCCCAACTCCGCCCTTCCCCAGGGTGGGTATGCCCCGTTGGCTTCCCTCCACTCCCGTCTTTTTCTCCTTGGGAGGCCGCTGGGGATTTTGGTTGATGTCGAGCAATTCCGCACAAAAATGAAAAAAACTATGTCTGGTTTTACATCTCTATAGATAAAGTCGGGGTCATTTGAAAAAAGTGTTGTTGGAAACGATGCTGAGCGTGATTTTCGGAGGCTTTTGTCTTTGGTGTTTTTTCCTCAGGTCGTGGCGCCCCAACTCAGAGTGGCAAAATACACTCGGGGTCGTCGATTTTTAAGTCCCAATTGATCATGCAATCATGTCTCGAGCAACGAATCGCCCTTTTCCACGGCCGAAGCGACCCCGACCGAATCTGTTTCCTCCTCGTCCTCCAAAGCCACCACCGGCGGCGGCGCTAGTAGTGGCAGCGGCGGCCGAAGTAGCGGCAGTGGTTGAAGCGGCAGCATCGCCGTTGCCACCAGCGTTTCCTCCGGCGTTGTCATCGGCGTTGTCGCCGTTGTTTCCACCAGCATTGCCACCAGCGTTCCCTCCGGCGTTGCCATCAGCGTTACCGCCGTTATTTCCACCAGCGTTGCCGCCAGCGTTGTCATCAGCGTTGCCGCCGTTATTTCCACCAGCATTGCCGCCAGCGTTCCCTCCGGCGTTATCATCAGCGTTGCCGCCGTTGCCGCCAGCATTGCCACCGGCGTTTCCTCCGGCGTTGCCGCCAGCATTACCGCCGTTGTTACCTCCAGCGTTACCACCAGCGTTACCGCCGTTGCCACCACCTTGGCCGACGGTGAACTTGGTGCAATCATCTTGAGCACCGCGTTGGGCAACCTGGGGAATGGTTAACTTCAATCAAAGTGTTAGGGTTCTCCAGTACTTACGGGCATGAGGACAGGTTGGTGGTTGGAAGCGGAGTTCATGGTGCAGATACGATAAGTTCCAGCAGGTAGACCATCAGTGACAGTGGCTTGGAGGAGACCGGCTCCGTTACCGTCGTCGTTGATGCCCTTGAAGAAGGCAAAATTCTTTGGGTCGGGAGGCTGTTGAGGAGCAATCTGGTTGTTCAAGTCTTGAACGGTAACGTGACAATGACCAACAACGTTTCCGCCCTGTAATTCTTGAGGTGCAGAGTAGTAAGTGTTGATGGGGTCAGTGAAAGAACCAGCCACCAGGTTGGTGAGTTGGACCTGGATGTTGAATTGGGTGTCGGGCTCGAGGTCCTGGTTGGGTGCAGGGAAAATCACGATAGCAGAAATCATGTTGTTGTTGGACGGAATATCTCCCATAACGACACCGTTGCACGAACCTTGGGTAACCTGCTTGCCGTTCGTGAGGGTCTTGCCAGTACAGAAATTGACAAAATTGGCTGGGTCTGTGTTCGAGTTCGATTGGCCAGCAGCAACGTCAGGTGTGCCCTGGGAGTTCGAGGCTTCTTGAACATTGGCCTGAAGCAGTAAGAGCTCGTTGCCGCCATTGCCTGCGTTATTTCCGTTGTTGTTATTGTTGTTGTTGGCTCCGTTGTTGTTGTTGTTGTTGTTTCCACCCTGGGCGTTGACGTTGTTTCCGTTGTTTCCGTTGTTGTTGTTGTTGTTGTTATTTTGTGCTAAGCTCTGGGAAACCAGGCCAAGTGCAGCAACAGCGGCAGTCACAAATTGAGTCGACTTCATCTTGTTCGAGTCAATTCGAATGGCTTTGAGTCAATTGTTTCAATGAGTTTGGGAGTGCAGGATCAAAAAATAGATCAAAGTCAGAACGAAAGACTTCGCGGTCAACGCGGTCGAGAATTGAATAAGGAATGTGAGAAAGAAACAGTGAGCAATGGACACACACAATGGAAAGGAATGTTAGAGGCACTGCCACGATGAAGAATGGAAAGGTAAAACAAGCCCATCGTGGACAGATGGGAGCTCTTATGTGAGTGACTTGGCAGGGTATCGAGTTCGCGTTAGGCACAGAGGTTGTGGTCCATGGTGATTTCCTTGAGGCTGGAAACGTTTCCAAGTCCACAGGATGACACAAGATGGCCTCCTAGTGCATCAGATTTTGGATGAGCTGGAACCAGGTTGGATGGTTACAGGTTGGTCGCAGTATGCAAGTAAATGTCAAAAGAAGCATTGCCAATGTTTTGGAGGGAGAGTTAGTACACCTGAAATCAAGACAATCATGGGTTGCGAGAGACGAAGATGAAGCTGGGATGGTTTCGAATCGTGTCGGAGGCACACGGGAAGCTGGGCTTCTGAAACGGGCGGTTGGAGGATGAGATGCGCGAAGTCTTGGTAAGGTTCTCCATTCTAGCCAGATCTTGCCTAGCCCCCGTGCTAAGTCTCTGTTTATTGCGCCTAGACGCTTTTAGTGCGACACTCCTGTCTTGCCCCTAACGACGTCATATCCCTTTCGGGCTGCTCTTGGGTGGCTCTCCTTTCAGGCCCATCAAACACGGTGAGGTTCGCTTCCCATCTACCAGTTCCCCTTGGCTCCATCGTGACCTGCCTCCTGCAATTCCTCGCTCCATCTGTCATCAACATCCCTATGCAAGATTTCAACGTCCGGGCCACCACACCATTGCATACGCGAGCCTCTCAAAATAAACCCTCGTCCACCCCTCCACGTGTTATAGGCTGATTCCCGCCCCTGTCCCCTTCCAAACCACGATTTCCCCATGCCTTGTCCCTGCACAATCCGACTTGGCTTCACCAAGCTTTTCACCAAGCTTTGAGTCTGCCGATTACCGATTGATCTCTTCCTGGACTCAATGTGAAGCACATCGCAAACCAGGAGGCCTTCTCCCTTTTCCATCGGTTACCTGGGCAGCCCCATCTTGGTGCGCTCGGATTACTCTCTCTCTCTTTTTGACCGATCTTGCGAGCGCAAAATGCTAGCCTTGTTGCGCTACGCGTAAATCCTACGTGCCCTTCTTCTCCCTATGGTCAGTTTCGGATTTCTTGCGCTTGCCGTCGATAATGACGATCTTAGACTCAACTTTATGCAATGATTGTTTGAGTACAGCCTTGGTCGTACAGAAACGGCATAACCCTAGATGCCTACTTCTCACTGTGGGATTTATTTCCACTCTTTGATTGATGAAATTCCAATTCCCCACAGCCCACAACCTGGCGAGGAGAAAGGACAGGGTCTAGAAATCCTTTAAGTTTCTCAGTGCCCCGTGCAATGCTTGATTACACCTCCTGGGTAAGGCGCACTGTCGCAAGGACACGATCGGCAGACGCATGACCTTCAACGCCGGGTGCCGCTGATCCGAGTGAACGGGAGGAGTGTACGAGGAAGAGTTCTAGTTCGAAGCGATCGGACGCAGAGCCATCCGAAATCAAGCTTTGATTTGACCAGTGCGTTACTCCGTACTTCTCAAGGGGATCGCTGCTCACGAACTAAGCGCCCGGCGCGAGTTCTTTGACTTACTTTCCCCAAGCGGCAATTGGCCTTCCAATGCCTGAATCAATCATCCTCCCAACAATTGACCACTAGAGAATACCGTTCCCCTTCCCGACAGAATGATGTTAGCAATGCTTGTCTTGTTCTCGGCATCCGTTTTCACGTCAACCTCAACAGCGATGGTGCACGCGCGGCCCATTTCGATACCCTGCTGAATTCCAAACACCATTCTCTCCGTCTTCTCCTCAATTTTCAGATCCTTTGTTTTCGCCTCGACCCTTTCCACCGAATTTGCAGAGGGCTCGCTGGCCTCCTCCTTGTTCGATCCTTGGGACGAGCGGGAAGTCAACGACAGGTAACACGCCAACGCAGAACATGCACTTCCGGTGCCTGGATCTTCAATACCGTGCGATATCATGCGAGCCTGGATGTTGTGAATTGTAGGCTCTCCTTCTTGATCGGCCAGTCCCACGATTTTATAGTACAGGCAACCTACAAAACTCGGGGACCAATCTTTATCAAGTTCGACCTCAGGCGCTTGACCTGGTCGCAACGCTGCCAGGACTTCAGGCGCATCGGTCAAATCCACCAGCGCAAAGGTCATCCCTTTCAAGATCGAGACGACTGGGTAGGATTTCTCTTTCACGTTTTCTATGGTGGGCACGATCTGAACGTGCGGTTGTGTGCTGATGACCTTCTCAATGGTGACCCGATCTGTGTGGACATGGAATCGGAACGGGACGGCGCAAGCCGCGACTTGCCTGTAGATGTTGTAGAAGATGGGGATTCTCCCGGCTTTTGTTTGGAGGACAGCTGTCTGTTGTCCTGTATCTCGATCTTGGGGTCCTCGATACGGCAATTTGTCGATATAGGTGAATATCTAGTTAGGCTCACGTTAAGATGATGTTTCTCTGTGCAACGTTCAAGTGCTACAATTTCAGGGTCGTCTTACATAATGTGCAGCTCCAATAACCTAGTGTGCGCTCGCTATCAGCAACAAAGCCCGAAAGGCATCAAACTTGACGGCGGCACCGATGTCATACTCACCGGATGTCCTGCAAAGGGCACCTCCTCGCCCGTCTCAGTGAAGATCTCACAAAGCCGTGGACGACCCGGTCCAGGTGCATCATGCAAAAACACGGTCTCCGAGTACCCGAATTCCTTTGCAATAAGGGACTTGCGCTGCTGTGTGAGCGCATTGCCCCTCACCGAGACGATAGCCAGTCGATTGCCTTGAAACTTCTCTGGCGAAAAGACCTGGTAGAGATGCTCTATATCAGTGTCTCGGTCAAATCTTTGGTCTGTGGAATGAAATCAAGCAAAGCATCGCACGTTGTTGGCGATGTGATATCTTGGCTTCCTCGCTCATCGGCGGCGAAGCGCAAGAACAACGAGGGGTTCACAGCCTAACGTAGATGGCTTTGTCACAACCTCAGAGATCTTTTCTTGTCTCAGTCTTCGTAACAAGTAGCCGAGGCGTGCCTTAAGTTCCGTTCTCGCTACCTAGGCATGTAGCATACAAGAAACAGGTACATACCGACATGGTGACGAAAGTATGGGGTCCGCTTGCCATCTTGTCAGTGTTATGCAGAGGTCTGCGCTATTCCGGTGAAGAGGGAGTTTTCAACAGCCGGCGAAGGCTTTTTCTTCTGTTGTAACCTCCTATTACAATATCCCGTTGAGTAGTGGAACTGTTCTTTGACTTGGGAGAGAAGGGGTCACGTCGATGGATCGCATTATTCATTTCGGCGACTATTTTAATTGCCCCGCCAAGCCGTCCCACCAATGTTCCCATCTCCAGATATCTATGCAAACAGTAACATAGTTCGATTGTACTGGGCTGGCCGGGCCCCGGCCACGATGATGTTCGAGCAGATCAAAGGATTCTATTGTCTCATGAGATTACTTCTTGTGATTCGTAAAGATTAGGGTAGTTATTTGAATTTCAACACTAAGCTTCCAACGCCCTCGAGCGAATATTTATTCGAAAATAATATCTCACCATACGCGGAAATAGAACCAGTCGTGGAGGAACCCCGTGATCCACGTTGGTACAGCACTCGCCAACCTCATGTCCGCGAGAGGAGCGAAGTACGATGGCACTGAAATTGGCAGATATATCTGTGTCAAATATACAACCTGGAATGGAGTCAAAGGCACCCTACCATTTTGCATCTAGGATTTATATGACACTCCGAAGAACCACTCCTAAAAGGCATCTCTTTACTCACTGGGTTTTATGGCACGCCATTCAGTAAACGACACACGGGGGTGTACCAATATAGTATTGCTCTCACTTATCCTCAACTTTTCCTGGCACTAATATCATACATTGAGCTGGAGGGTATTGCTGCAAGGATAAACAACCATCCTAAAGGCATGTAATATACACACTCTCTCCAAGAAACAGATATAGAACCGTCTCGGAATTGATCTCTGAACCATCTTATCTTTGAACCAAATCTGTGGCCATTTTTGACCCCCGTCGCTATGAAGTAACGTCAACAGAATTATAAGCACTGAGGTTATCCTGATCCAGAGGCTTTCTTCGGCTCCTCGTCATCTTTCGATTGAGGTTTATGTTCCTTATTCTTGTCGCTGGTTTCGGACTCAAGGCTATCATGCTGATGGGTGAGCTTATGCCACGCGGATTTGAGGAATCCTTCATTCTTGTGGTCTTCTGCCTTGTTGGATGGTTTTGATGGCTTGTCCTTCGCTTCCCTGCAAGGTGCGTTAGCCTGTTTAGCCCTGTGATGTGAACCTGACTTACTGCTTGTATTGAGTTATATTCATGATTCTCTTGGCGGTTTTGTCATCCATTTCATCGGCCAGCAATTCAATGATGGTGCGTTGATTGGCGCTCCAATACTTCGGCATGTTGACTTTGAACTCTACCCGGAGATCCCCCGAAGAGTTGCGACCACCTCCACTGAGTCGCTTCATACCCATTCCAGGAAGAGTAATCTTGTCGCCTGTTCCGGTACCGGTAGCAACCTTGACCTTGACCTCTCCATCAAGTGTAGGTATTTGGACTTCACCACCTAGAAGGGCGGTCGTCAACGGCAACGTGGCCGTGTAGAGCACATCGGCGCCGTTGCGACGGAATCGAGCATCCGGAGCGACTCTGATGAAGACAAATAGGTCGCCGGTTTGTGAACGAGCATTTGGATTTGGCGACAGCCCGGTAGGTGCAGCGTCACCCTCACCCACGACCCTCATCCTCATGGCATCTTCAACTCCAGGGGGTATTTCGATAGGTATCGTCTTACGCTGTCGCACGACACCATTTCCAGAGCATGTGTTGCATTCGGATCCTCTCGGGACTGTCTGGCCGCTTCCTGAGCAGGCAGAGCAAGTGCTCTGCATCTGGAATCCTTGCTGCATGACATGGACACGAGTCCCGGTGCCCCCACAGCTCTTGCATGTCTGCCTTGAAGCTCCCTGCTTAAGACCATTGCCGTGGCAGGTTCCGCACTGTACCAGTGGAGTAATGGTGATGTTCTTGGTCACACCTTTCGCGGCATCCATAAACGAAATATTCGTCTGCACCTCTATATTCTCGCCCAGCAGAACCTCTTCCTGCTGAAACCCTCCTCTTCTGCCGCGGGCACGACCTCCCGTGAAGGCTCCAAAAAGATCCTCGAAATTGAACTCTGCGCCAAAACCTCCACCAAACCCGGAAAACGGTCCACCAGCACCACTAAAGGGGTTTCCCCCCGCGGCATTGGGGTCGAAGCCTGCTCCTTGATCAAAGGCAGCGGAGCCATACTGATCATATGTGGCCTTCTTTTGAGGGTCGTTCAACAATTCATAGGCGGATTGAGCGTCGGTGAACTTTTCCTTTGCAGAGGGGTCTTTGTTCGTATCAGGATGATATTTTTTGGCCAGCGCATAGTAAGCCTTTTTTATTTCGGAAGACGATGCGTTCTTTCCCACTCCGAGGGTAGCATAAGGGTCTTTCGTGGCTTGTTGAGATGATGTCGCTGAAAACGGTCGACTTTGGGACTGCGTGCGGAAGAATGTGGAAGATATAGTAGGTTTTCGGGAGATAGGCTTCGTTGTGGACCCGCAGCTAGTAAGGCGTCGCTTGACAACCGAAGAATGTGAGAAGGGCCTCGTCTGAGCCTTGCGCGTGAAAGTATTTGAATGCTGTGGGCAATGAAAGGCGGATCTTATCAAGCGGCGAGGAACGGGAGCCGTCCCAGCCCAGGCAGCGCCTGCCACGCTCATTGAAGATAAGATACCAGGTCACCACGCTTATAGCATTAGATGCACATTGAAGATAAAAGTAAAAGGCCAACAACAAAGGGACTGAACAGATGGGGAAGTTGTTGCTGGAGAAAGAGGCCGTTGACTTTTCGAAAGAGAAAGCCGAGAAAGTTCTGGAGTTCCGGATAATCTATTCCACCGCGACCGGGGGGGCGACGGCGCACCTGCCACCTCAACTCAACTCGCCGTACCTGCCCCTTTCGGACCGTGCCTTCGATGATCTCAATCATTTTGTCCGGCCGGGAAATCGGTGATGCTCCATCCACTGACGCCACGAAATACTGCCTGCTTCCTCAGCCTTCTTCATCGTCCTTTCTTTCACTTCTCGCTGGATACCTTGACCTCAAACGAAGATACCGTAGCCTCATTACCCTATACTAAGCTTGTCCGAGTCTTGCCAGGCCACCCCTCCGGCGCCTCATTCCTCCGCCTGGCTTGAATATGCTTCGAGGCCAACTTTCGCCATGGAGAACCGCCCTCCAAAACGGTCAGCGCACCATCTGTAGAGACTGCAGACGACAGATCTTACTGCGGCATGCCTTGTTCAACTCCGCGCCTCCTCGACAGCCTCCCGCTTACCTATCCACGACCTCCGAATTGAGTGGATTACAAATGCGACAGTTCTCTTCCCACCCTGTCCGCCGGAAAGATAAGCCTTCTGAAGATGATCCGTCGAATAGAACCGGAGAACCAGATGCAAAGACTAAGAAGGTGGAGAACGAGTTAGAGGAAGCCCCTCGGACTGAAGACAGTGCCGAGTCCAAGAAATCCCCTTCAGAGCCACAGCCTATAGCTCAACCCTCCAGCGATGGAAAACCGGCCGCCGCAGGCAGTGATGGTTCGTCAGGATCAGGACAGAGTTCAGGGAGCAGCGAAGGAACGAAGCGTGGACGTCGTACCACGCAAATCTCGAAGCCAACGGTTCCGGAAACCTACCCTCAGGTCATGGCCATTCCTATCGCGAAACGCCCTTTATTCCCTGGCTTCTACAAGGCCATCACCATTCGAGATTCTAATGTGGTTGCAGCGATCCAGGAAATGATGAAAAGAGGTCAACCCTACGTCGGAGCTTTTCTCTTCAAGGACGAGGCCGCAGACAAGGATGTGATTGATAAACCGGATGATGTCCATGACGTGGGAGTTTTCGCCCAAATAACCAGTGCTTTTCCTGTCCATGGGGATGAGCATAGTCTGACCGCCGTGCTGTATCCCCACCGACGAATAAAGATGTCAAGCCTGCTCCCTCCGTCGACCCCAGGCGAACAGCGGAAAGTGGCAGTAGCTGAGATTCTACCTGCAGATGAGCCAAAACCCAAACCTGATGGCACCGAGGGTAAGGGCGATGTCGTTGCAAGTTTCGAGGAATCTGCAAAGGAACAGACCGCCCCTCAAGCCACCGTCTACGAGCCAACAGCATTCTTACGCAAATATCCCGTCTCGCTGGTCAATGTTGAGAACCTGACTGAGGTCGCCCATGACAGGAAAAGTGATGTGATTCGTGCCCTAACTTCCGAGATTGTCAATGTTTTCAAGGAGGTTGCCACTATTAACACAATATTTCGTGACCAGATCTCGGACTTCAGTGTCTCGCAATCAGCCGGCAATGTCATTGAAGAACCTGCAAAGCTCGCAGACTTTGCTGCAGCTGTGTCAGTTGGAGAAATAGATGAACTGCAGGATATTCTGCAGACCATGAATGTGGAGGAGCGCCTTCACAAGGCCCTGGTGGTTCTTAAGAAGGAGTTGATGAATGCCAAGCTTCAGACCAAGATCTCCAAAGATGTCGAAAGCAAGATACAAAAGCGCCAACGTGAATACTGGCTCATGGAACAAATGAAGGGTATCCGTCGAGAGCTGGGTATTGAAGTTGATGGAAAGGACAAACTGGTTGAGAAATTCAGGGAACGAGGCCAGAAGTTGGCCATGCCAGAAGCAGTCAAGAAAGTCTTCGACGAGGAGCTCAATAAACTGGCACACCTGGAGCCAGCTGCATCAGAATTTAATGTTACTAGGAACTACCTGGATTGGATCACCCAGATTCCGTGGGGCCAAAGAAGTGCCGAGAACTTTGGCATCAAGAATGCCATGACTGTTTTGGATGAGGATCACTATGGGTTGAAAGACGTCAAAGACAGGATCCTCGAGTTTATCGCCGTCGGCAAACTCCGCGGCACAGTTGAAGGCAAGATTCTATGTTTTGTTGGCCCGCCTGGCGTGGGTAAGACCTCGATCGGCAAGTCGATCGCTCGCGCTCTCAACAGACAGTACTACCGCTTCAGTGTGGGTGGGCTCACAGATGTGGCTGAAATCAAAGGACATCGTCGAACTTACGTGGGAGCCCTACCTGGTCGCATCATTCAAGCATTAAAGAAATGCCAAACCGAGAACCCCCTCATTTTGATTGATGAGGTCGATAAAATTGGCCGCGGTCACCAGGGTGACCCGTCATCTGCACTCCTGGAATTGCTCGACCCAGAACAGAACTCCAGCTTCTTAGACCACTACATGGATGTGCCTGTTGATTTGTCCAAGGTCCTTTTCGTCTGCACAGCCAATCTCACTGATACTATTCCTCGGCCTCTACTCGATCGTATGGAGTTGATCGAACTCAGTGGCTATGTCGCCAACGAGAAGAAAGCCATTGCTGATCGATACCTTGCCCCTCAAGCAAAGGAACTATCTGGTCTTAAAGATGTCGACGTCACGCTTGACGAGTCTGCCATTGACGAACTTATCAATAAGTATTGCCGGGAGTCTGGGGTTCGCAATCTTAAGAAACAGATAGAGAAGGTTTACCGCAAGTCGGCACTAAAGATCATTCAGGACCTTGGCGAGGACGCACTTCCAGAGTCAGAAGCGCTGACTGATGAAGGCAAAGCCGCGTTGGAGGAGAGTAAGAAAGATGAAACCGACGTCAAAGACACGCCAGAGAACATCGAGAATGAAACCACCGAAGAGCCTCGTGTTGCCCTCAAGGTTCCAGACTCTGTCCATGTCAACATTACCAAAGACAACCTCAAAGATTATGTCGGGCCCCCCATCTTCACTGCTGATCGTCTCTATGAGACCACGCCTCCAGGTGTTGCTATGGGTCTTGCATGGACGAGCATGGGAGGCGCTGCGCTCTATATCGAATCTATTCTTGAATCCGCCATTTCAGCCCAGAGCCGACCTGGTTTCCAGCAAACGGGAAATCTAAAGAACGTTATGAAGGAATCAACAGCAATTGCCTACTCTTTTGCAAAATCGATCATTGCCACTCGTTTCCCGAAGAACAGGTTTTTCGATCATGCCAAGATCCATCTCCATTGTCCTGAGGGCGCTGTCCAAAAGGATGGGCCTTCGGCGGGCATTACCATGGCAACTTCGTTATTGAGTTTGGCAATGGATAAGAAAGTTGATCCTGCTTTGGCCATGACAGGCGAACTGACAGTGACTGGCAAAGTTCTTAGGATAGGTGGGTTGAGAGAAAAGACTGTCGCAGCACGACGGGCTGGATGTTCTAAGATCATATTCCCCAAGGACAACTGGGGAGACTGGTGCGAATTGCCAGAGGTGAGATCACCCTCTTGACTCCAAGTAACATTGATTGGACCACTACTGACACTGTTGATTAGAACATTAAAGAAGGTATTCAGGGCCACGCTGTTGACTGGTATAATGATGTCTTCGATCTTGTCTTCCCAGATGTAAAGAAAGACGAAGTCAATAACCGTTGGAGGGCGGCGTTGAAGGAAAAGGATTCGGATAAGAAATCGAGGAAAAATAAGGAGAAAGATGAGGAGAACGACTCAGATTCGGATGACGACTGAGCGTCATTGACTTGGCAGCAGACACTTTGTTCACATCAAAAATTTCCCATCGAGCGGATCGTGCTGCTGCCACAGGCTGATGTTCTCAAGCTGCCGTTCTGCGCCTGAAAATGTGCTCTCCGGCCTCAACCTGTTCGGGACTTGGACACATCATCCTAAACTCTGGGCAGGCAAAACTTTCGATTTTGACGACACATCTGGACCAACAGATCCACATCTCTGATCTGAGATCCGGGTTCATTGTATATAACGCCCGATATTGCGCTGCATGGAAATGGTCAGCATTTGAAGTGGATGCAAGGACAAAAGAAATAGATCGGGATTCCATTAAGCAGTCCGCTCCACGATTGTTTGCTTTAGAACATCGTCTAGTTTGATGCGCTTGGCGTTGACGAACTCTCTGCTCCGTCCACTCGAGACTGTAGGATAGATAGGACTTATAGTGTCGATGTACATCAGACGGCTACTTGGTGATTACAGTCTTTCCACGCTTATTCTTATTGGTCTGGTTCAAAGTTTTGCAAGCTGCTAGTAAGTCCCTGGAGCTGTTCAAAAATGCACGGATATACGCCAGTGCCAATCAGAAGCTGGCACCACAGTCGCATTGGGAGATCACCAGTCTCTTCACTAGGTCGGTCATGCATGAAGGTCAACGGACCCAGCTTCAGACTTTTCAGCCAGGAGCCCGGTAGTGGAACATGTAAATTGGGATGCGCGGCCAGAGAGGTTTTGACTGATACGAAGTCTTCTGTTATTGAAGGGTGCGTATGGTTCTCTCGAGCGAGCTGCTACTAGTCCTGCGCTTGAGAACGGGATCCGACACCAGTGTGATCTGCGTCTATGCACACTGGTCTGCGGAAGTTTTGAGACATAAAATGAAAACTCTCCCTGAGCGCCTCGAGGGAAACTTCGTGAATCTCTCTACTACTTGACGTACAGTATTAATGTGCTGCCCACATATATACATGTCTATATTTACGAACTGCTGAATCATATACACCGGACGGTAGAGGGCAAAATCATTCCTCTATTCTCGCCGCCAGCTTCCCATACCGTATCAACCACCGATGGTCCACAAGGAGGAGGACATGTGGAGAGCGCAGCCCGAGGAGAGAGTTAGAAACAGGAACGTCGACCTCGGCCTGTCTGAAAAAGATATAGGACCTTCACAAGGCGATCCCTCACCCGGAGCAGAATCAGATGACCCAGCCCCATTCCTCGTCGCCTTCGACGAGCCTCACGATCACCTCAACCCTAAAGACTGGCCGACGATCCGAAAATGGGTGGCAACCGGCGTTTTGTCGGTGACAGGCTTCAATCGCATCATGGTTTCGACCATCATGGCTCCCGCACTGTCTACAATCGCAGTCGAGCTCGACATGAATGCAACCACGTCCGTCATGTCCTTGTCCGTCTATCTCCTTGCCACCGCCTTCGGACCGCTGCTCATCGGCCCACTGTCAGAGATATACGGCCGCAAACCCGTGCTTCACGCGACCAACACCTGGTTCCTGGTCTGGAACCTCGTCTGTGGATTCGCAACCAGCAAATCCGTCCTGATCGCTGCCCGCCTGCTTGCAGGGCTGGGCGCGAGTGCGATATACACTCTCGGAGGGGGTGTCCTTGGCGATGTGTGGAGACCCGAAGAGAGAGGTCGCTCTCTGGGTCTGTATCAGCTCATACCGCTGCTCGGTGCCGCCGTGGGTCCCATCCTGGGAGGCTTTATCGCCTCGTCGACGACCTGGCGCTGGATGTTCTGGTCGACGTCGATATTCCAGTTGGTCGCCACGGTGCTGTCCTTCTTCATCTTCCACGAGACGTACGCCCATGCCATCCTCAAGCAGAAAGCGAGTCGTCTGCGCCGCAGCACGGGGGACGCGCGCTACCACGCGGCGGTCGAGAAGCTGCTGGAGAACCGGCCGCTCAGCTGGATGTGGCGAAAAAGTCTCTCCCGGCCGCTCCGCCTATTAATGTTTCACTCGATCGTGCAGATCCAAGCCGTCGTGTGTGGTTTCGCGTATGGGATTACATACCTGGTGATATCGAGCTATGCGGACATGTGGACTGCGAGGTACGCAGAGTCGACTTCAAGGGCCGGGCTTCACTACCTCGCCATGTGCCTCGGTGAGATCCTCGGGTCGCAGCTCGGCGGCCCGGCGATGGACTTGGTCTTCCACAAGCTGAAGATGCGGCATCGAGGGTCTGGCGCCCCAGAGCTTCATCTCCCTCTGATGGTACCCGGGTCTCTCATCACAGTCACAGGGTTCCTGCTGTACGGATGGACCGCACAAACGCGTTCTTTCTGGGTCGTCGTCGATCTCGGCGCCTTGCTGCTATCCCTCGGCAACAGCATGACGGGACAGGTCATGCAGGCTTATGTCATTGACTCATACCCGGACCATACGAGCTCTGCGTTGGCGGCATCTCAATTGGTGCGCAGTCTGACCGCATTTGGATTCCCGCTGTTTGCTCCTCATCTGTACGCAGCGCTGGGTTATGGTTGGGGAAATAGCTTGTTGGCTCTGATCTCGGCCGTCATTGGGTTTCCTGCACCCTTGGTTCTGTGGGTGTTCGGCGCGAGGCTGCGTGAAGAGGCCCAATTTACGTTCTGAGAGTACGGGGCGGCAGAAACACCGGGGAGGGGCTAATCAATTTTTCTGCGCTTTCTCGTTCGCAGAGTGGCATGGCTAAGTCTCTAGACATTGCCTGGCCCACTTATTGATTAATTCCTTGCTGCACTCAACCAATGTGAGATTAGATACATGGGAATCAGAGAAGACTGGAAGGACCAAAGAAGTATCACGTTACTCATTCCATGTTATTATTATCATTTACATATTCGTTCTCAAAGACAAGGACTAATTAACTCACCACTCTCTTTATCGGTCGCTTGGGCCACTGAATTGGTACTCCCGAGCACCTCCGTGAATACTGGAATGCCCAAGTCCAAATAAGGGTCAGCAGTCTGCCGAAACCAAATTCCAGACCAGACTCGACGACCGCCTCCCTTCCATAAGTGGGCGAAGAGACAGATGCTAGATATCGCGATCACCACAGTTGATTGTACATTATTCGGTCGTAGAGGCGTAGACGCAGCTGGTATTGTCCTTTGTTCTCCCTAGACCGCGTGCAAGCGTTTTCGCCATCTTCAAAAATGCCGCTGCAGAATGCTCGTGACGACAATTCTGTATAGGTATTGCAGCTAGTCACAAGTGCATATCCCTGCAAGAACAATGCTGTGCTCATCACGCGGGATCAACAGAAACATCAAGCCAGCACATGCGCCGAACCTCGGTGCTTGGATCGCCGTGCCGTGCTCATTTGTTGTTACCAACGGGGTATTGCGGGTTCCAGCCCTTCTTGACACCTGGGCCGGCAGTGCCTTTCGAGAACCCCCTTTCCTCCAATGATGTCTGCACGGGTTTGTGGATTCGGACCATCCAGAGGAACCAGTCTTCTAGGACTAGCAAGTTGAGCAGGATAGCATTACTCTTCCACCCAAGGGCGCAGACCAAAGCACCCGCCACTGCATCCAGAATAAAGTGATTGGCCGTACTTACGATCGCAACGAGGATTGCAAATGGGTAAGCAAAGCCGAGTGCGAGGCAGAGCAGTCTTCTCGAGCTGGGGAGCCGGATCTGTGGTGCGAGATCGGGGTGTGAATTGTTGAAGATGGGTAGATGGACAGATCTGCTGCGACGGTGTTCGGGCGCAAGCGGGATGCTCATTATGGTCAGGCCGACTAGCAAGGAGTAGCCGAAATGGAGCGATGGCATTGCAGCTGATGGATGGTTGGTCAGTCTGGTTTGAATTCACTCGCACACTTTATGATTTTGATCAGGTCGAGGTTTGCCCACGTGAAGACTCACCATATTGATTGCAGAACCGATTCTGGGTCCAGACGCTGCTTGCCCCTTCTTTGCTATGCACAGTGTCCACGAAACCATAGCTCTTGGCCTGTTCGGCGTCTGCACCGTTATAATCAGGATCACTGAGGAGCCTTGGTGGCATGCACGGCCAAAGCGTAAAGACCACGAATGCAAGTAGATTGCACACGGCCATGGTCCGTCTCCGCGCTTCATATAATGCAGGCCCAGCTTGGAAATTTGGGTGATTATTCTCTTGCAGTCTGTCTGGGCGTCTCTGAAGGGGGCGATTGCTCGTGATAGTGTAGTAATATAGCCAGACGAGAAACGCGATGGTGCCGGGAATATGAATGAAGGAGTATAGCCAATTGATGTAGGTCATCAGGCGGGGATAGCCCATGAAGAACTCCTGGATAGGAATTTCCCAAAATATGTGCAAACTCTTCTCGATCTCTACAACTTGGAGGGCGTGGCGGCGGGCTACGTGGATGGTGCCCTCAACGATAGTCACGGCAGTAAATGCCCGACCAAGTTGATAGACCTGGATTCGTTAGACGGTGATACACGGTTTCGCCCTTGTGCAAGCTCTTACCCAGTATATCAATGCCCAATACCAAGCTTCAACGAGGAATGGAAACTTGTGAAGGAGTCGACTAAGAGCACGATTCCGAAAGACTGCGGTGTTCGGTGTCTCAACCAATTTCCTGTAGCCCATAATCCGGAGCTCTCGTTCGTGCCATCTCGTTTCCTGCGAGGGAAGCAGTGAAGGAGATAAAGATCGTTTGGACTTGTTGAGTTGAGCCTCGGCGAGGTTTAAGTCTTCTTCAGTGTGTACGGCATGAGCGGCAAGGAGAGGCTCATCGTCTTCCGGTTTAGTCGAAGAAACAGGGAAGTCGGTGGCACGATTGATCCATGCTCCGCCGAAGAGTAGGACGACCACGGCTAGTGGTTCGAGATATGCGCCTGCGCCCATGAGAAGTTGCCCAGCCTTGTGCTCCTCGCCTAGCGATCCGTCAAAATTCAGAGCCTCCCAATCTAGGTAGTCGTGCTATCGTTTCACTATCAGTATTCTAACAGATACGAAAGTGCAAAGAAGAGCGGTGCTTTGGTAAGGGAGACAGAAGCGAAGCAGTCCCCAAGCGAGGGATTAACGTCAAAGTTGAAGGAAGAAGCCTCCCCGCCAGCCATCCAGCCATTTCTCCCACTTTGTGTCCGCAGTCCAGGATGAGTAATGCACAACAAGATCATGGCAGTCCCGGAGCCAATGAGCCACTTAATTGCCTGATTAGCAGCGTTATGCAGGACCTCACGAACGAATGGCGCAGAGTAAGCCAGCGGGAGGGCGCACATCACCGGGAAGTCTAGAAGAAACAACGCAATTTGTCATTCAAGTTCCGGGTAAGCGATGAGAGCTTAGTCGCACCGCATATTTAGAGAGAAAAGCTAAGGGATACCACAAGGATACGATTGAGTCATTCTGAATCGCCCTGGACGTCATAAGTTGCACCTGGGCGTTGTCCGGATATGCAGTAGCTCAGAATCCATTCGCGTGCTAGGCCAAACTTGGATATAGACGTGGGGCAAGGCTTCAGCCGCTGCCCGCACGATTCTTCCGACACTTCCGCACAGGTATTTGCCCACAAGTCTTGACTGATATATGAATGATAGTCTCCTCGAGATATTCTGTAGTGTTTAAGGCATGGCATGAGCAACTCTTTGGCGTGGAGGCTTCATAAAACAGCTTGTGGTCACAGCTTGTGGTCACATCTGGGGCTGGTCGCGTGGGCTGGTCGTGTGCTCATCGCGCATTTGGCGAGTCAATGGGTGGGGTGACTGTGCACCGGGGCTTGGATGCCTTCCGTGGGCATCCGGCTTCAACCACAGCTTGCAGCCTCGTCACATACTCATTGGCCATTTCCCTTTCCTCCTCCACACATGAGGTTGTCGTGATGGCCAGTCATTGGACACTTATCCTTGCATCTTCGGCTCTCGACTTGCCGGCCGGCCGATGCTGGAAGAGCATAAGTGGCGACCAACGGCCGAGATTTCACTCGGTGTCTCGCTTCGATGCGCTGTGCGAGCCTCATCTCTGTTGAAGGCATCCCAGCAGGGCAACGGTTCAGAGCCTCAAACCACTGGCTTGGTGAAAGCCATGCGCGGCTTTCGACCTAATCGAATGTCCACTTTTGTCGCCGTAGTGATGTTGACCTGAGTTCCATGATTTGTTCAGCCAACTTTACGACCAACGTTACCGACACCTCTTCCAACGACACTGACAGTCAACTGCCCTTGAGCCTTCTCACCATCAGAATCTCTGATTCCCCATCCCGCCGTCCCAAATGCATTTAGATCCCTGGCGAGCTGGACGGTAGACGCGTTCGCCAGAACATCTCGACCAAGTTGCACTCTGCCCACATCTTCGGAGCCCATGGCCATGAGGGTAATTACCGTGGAAACTGCCTCAAGGCTGACACAACCTCCTCTTTCCACACTTTCCAACAATTCTAGTGCACATGCTTTCCCGATTTCTTCTGGCGCCTGGCCGCCTTCGGGAGGACTCGATGAGTCAGCTGAATACAAGCTTCCGCTGGAGCTTTCAGCAACCAAGGACAAGCCGAACCCAAGGCCGACTTTTTTCTTCGCACTGGGGTTATTCTTCTCGGGAGCAGGAACCAAGCTGGCACTGCTTACGTCGGAAAAGATGTAGATATCGCTGGCAAATCGGTTCAGAACGCCACGAGCAGCCTCGATCATTCTTGCATTATTGCTGCCCGAGACGCCCGTAGAGTATGCAACGCCCCGAATACTCTTGACTCGCCCTGCGTTCAATTGATGTAGCGTCTTCGGAAGTCGCACTTGATGCCCAAAAGTAAGCTGGACCTCACCAGCGCCGCCAACACCCCATTGGCCTGGATTTGATCGTTTGAGTATTCTTAGTTCGATATCCCTCTCGATTCCAAACCTGGCGTAGAGGGGGAGGATGGCGGTGCGCACGCTGTCCACGCTCATGTCTCCCCATCTTTCTGTGGAACTGGTGATTACACCGGGTCCTGTAAATAGAACATTGAACTTGGATTTGCTGAATGGAGCCAATAAACAGATAGGCAGCAGAAAGTAGCTCAGCCCCCTGGTATTATTTGCCGGTATCTCGTGGCGCAACACGCCAGCTGATGTTGCTCCGCTGCCACTCGCGGAGCCAGTGACTAGACCCGGCCTGTACAGTAATACGGTACCGGTATATGATATTTCGATATGAGAACCATTGGTTACAGTCTCGAGCAAGCGAAGAAAGGATATCTCATGGGGAGCAAGCCCAGGATTGATAGGAGAATCAGGACGGATTTGGTCAATTCGAATGGCACGACCCAACAGTGTGGAGAGAACCAGGCGGGAGGTGAGGGATTTGTGGGAGTGGAAGCGAAGGGGAGTCTGTGATGTCGACATCTTTGAGATCAATTTTACTAGGTGCTCATTGTTGTGAATAGTCAAGATCAAGAAGGGCTATGACTTTCGCGCCGAAGTGGTGCCCATCTTCATGCTTTTTGTTGGAGAAGAAATCTTTTTTACTTTTCTACAGTGCACTTCCCCGCAGGTAATTTTCTACGGCGAACTGGTCCATGCTAAAGCGCATCCATCACGTGTTAGCGCCGACACGGTAGAGTACAATGCATTGAAACGCATCATCGGATATCGGAGGTCGGATATCGCCTCAAGAGCCCCTCCTTCAGTTGAGTGAGGATTGAACATCCTTGACGTCGGCGGTCCGATCACTATACAGTAATACATTACCTGATCTGCGAAATCGGTCCAGGACAACTGGTCATTGTTCTTATTGTCCCAAACTCCTTCGGTCCGCACCAGAGTCAAAAACTGTACATATCTGGACGATTTGTCAGTCAGTTGCGAACACAGCCGCCAATAAAGTGGTGCTGACCATTGCCTCGGACTGGCTTTGTAGTTCATCACACGGAACTTCGATCTGCCCTGCTCGAAAAGAATCCAAGTTATAATTTCATTACAAGCATGGCAGGTGCTCTAAACTTGCCGAAATGGTACGTACTCCTTATCCTTGTTTTGCAACCATGGCAGAGTGGTATCTCTAACTTTACACAGGCTTGAGGACAACTCTCACCTCTTACAGCCGCCCGTCAACAATTATTGCGTTTATCACCCATCGTCTCCCTCCACAAGTGGGTTGACTGTTATGGTCGTTGGTGGGCCTAATGCGAGGACTGATTACCACATCAATACCACTCCAGAGTTCTTCTATCAGCACAAAGGCTCCATGCTGCTCAAGACCATGGACACATCAACAGAGCCTCATACCCCGGTAGATATTCCCATTCATGAGAACTCGCTTTTCTTGCTCCCTGCAAATACTCCGCACAATCCAGTACGCTTCGCAAATACCGTTGGTATTGTTCTGGAACAACCAAGACCCGAGGAATCTGTTGATACCCTGAGGTGGTACTGCAAGAAATGCAAGCATATTGTCCACGAGGCTAGTTTCCACCTGACCGATCTGGGAACGCAGATCAAAGAAGGCGTGCTGGCTTTCGAGAATGACATCGAGGCCAGAACGTGTAAAATTTGCGGGACAGTCGCCACTTCTAAGCCAGCCGAGGGCGAGATCCAGCAACCTCCGAGATTTCCGGAAGAGTGATCGACTACTCTGGATCACTTCTTCGTCCTGCCGCTGCAATTGACGGGACATTAACCGAATCCCGGCCCTGGGACTCTTGTATCTGTACACCATTCTTCTCTTCCAGAAGGTTATATAGAACGCTTTCAGCAACTTTCAATGCTGCTGGAGGCAATCCAGCGAGTTTGGCCACTTTCAATGCATGAGAATGTCTGTTTGTTCCTTTCTTCAATCGATGGACGAAAGTAAAGGCTCCATTTGCATCCTCAAGCACATCTGTGCAGTAGCATCCTAACTTGGTCCATTCTTGGGTCATGTCAGCTAGGGCGTGGAAGTGGGTCGCAAACAGCGTTCGGCACTTGTTGATATGGTAAAGATGGTGAAGACTTGCATAGCCCACAGCGGTCCCATCTTCAGGTGTCGTTCCGCGTCCCACCTCGTCCATGATCACAAACGATCTAGGTGTTGCATGTTTCAGAATGGCGGCCGTCTCTAACATTTCAACCATAAACGTAGATTGATCACGAAACAAGTCATCTGCGGCTCCAATTCGGCTGAAGACTTGATCCACAATACCGATTTCAGCATGGGTAGCAGGGACGTATGATCCTGATTGAGCGAGAATGGTGAGGAGAGCATTCTGACGCAGGAAAGTGCTCTTGCCACCCATGTTAGGCCCCGTCACAAGCCAGATTCGTTCATTTTGATTTAGCATAAGATTGTTGCTCACAAAAGATCGGCCTTGCTCTTCCAAGCCCAGCTTGACTGTAGGATGCCGACCTCCCAAAATCTTGTGCTCTGTTCCCAAATTCAGAATTGGTCTTGTCCAAGATTGCTCCTTCGCCAACGTAGCAAATGCTGTCGACACGTCAAGCTCGTCCATTACTGCAGCGTTTCGCCGAAGGGTAATTAGGTTCTTGATCACGAGTTCCCGAAGTTCTGCAAATATCCTCTTCTCTTCGCCTCGTATATGTAGTACGGTCTGATCAATGGAGCGACCCAACCTTGTCCAATCTGTCAGATAAAAAGAACGTGTGCTTTTTGTAGAAGAAACCATCTTCGCATGCAACGACTCAAACTTAGACTGATCGAAGCCTGCTGCATTCCGAACATGGCATATATGACCCAGGCCCGGCGTAGTCTTGAGCTGCAAGCTCGGCGCACCTAGTTCCTCTCTCAGTCTCCGAGTAAGCTCCACCTTTTCCACCTCGAGATCTTTCAAGGTTTCATGTAGATGGAAGAGGGTTTGGGTGGCATTTCGACGCATTACCCATGGTTCTTCTAACTTCGTTTCGCCATCTATGTCCTCGGTGGACCTGGTTCGTGATCGCACCGCCTTGGGTAAGGACGGGAGCTCTTCTGGAGCACTTTGCAATACAACCTCCTGGGCGAGAGCCGCCACACTCGCTGCCTCATCCTCCTCAAGTCGATGTTGTCGAAGCAGCCCCTCTTCATCTATCGAGTGGGAGATGCGATCCTCAAGCGCTGCCGGCCCTTCAAGAGTAAACCGCCTCAGGAGTATCTTGAGTGGGTGTGATTCCTCCACGCTTGGGGCTGGGTCACTAAGGCTTGTATTATCGGATGCTACAGCGGATTGCAGTACACCATACGCGGCCGCGGTTTCGGCGATGGCCCTGCCCAGGGACACCATGTCATCCGCGTCGCCTTTGTTTAACGCAAACTTTTGGACCAATCGCTGCACATCGTATGTCCGCCCCAGACGGAAGACCAGAGCCTCGTTCAATTCTTGGGATTGTATGAATACTGACACCAGATCAAGTCGGCCATTGATTTCGACCAGAGAAGCAGATGGGGATGTTAGTCGATCACGAAGGAGACGGGCACCACTTTTAGTCACAGTCCTCCTGACTGCGTGGAACAAGCTGCCTTTCCCAAGTCCATCCCGCGCAGTCTCCAAAAGCTCAAGGCCTCTCAGACTATTGCGATCGATGACAAGAGTTTCGCGTATTTCTCTCTGACGGGGTGGCTGCAGTCGTAATTGCAAGCCTTGAAGCCGAAGTTTTACATAATCAAGCAGGCGATGTCCAGCAAGTTTTTCGCCGAGACTGAAAATCTCGTCAGCGCCCTCAGGCACCGGAGTTTCTAGCATGCAGGCCCAGTCTGACATGGATGAAAATTCAGTATTTAAGTCATGAAAAGTAAGTAGTCGATGGTCGTGTCCCACTACCTGTTTAATTTCCGATTCAATGTCTTCTGCAACCTTGGAGGGAAGCACGATTTCTCGCGGGGAGATTCGAGTGATCGAGGACGACAGGGAGCTGCGATCTGTTGATTGAGTGAAGAAGTCGCCAGTAGATAGATCCAACCATGCAAGACCAAGTTTCTGCTCAGTTAGAACCGGAGTCTCAATCATTGCAGACCCATGTTGTGGCGTCTGAGGTTCAGGATAAATAGAGAGCAGGAAGTTATACTCGTATGGGTCAAGGAACTTTTCATCAATCAATGTCCCAGGGGTAACAACTCGGGTGACGTGTCGGTCATATAACAACCCACCAGACTTCACCTTGCTAGAGACGGGGATAAGGAATTCTTCGCAAATTGCAACGTATTTATTGAGATCTTGCACCAATATCTTGAGAAAGCGATCCAACTGGAAAATTGGGAACCCGGCCATAGAAACTGGACCAAGCTTGGTCTTTCTCGAAGAGACCTTCAGGTTCAGCTGTGGGCCATACTGCTCAGCCTGGTCAAAGTACAGCTCATAGAAATTTCCGACTTTTGTGAGCAAGACGCAGTTCTCAAATTTTAACATGTTATTCTTCACCTCCTGCAGGAGGGTGGGATATTGAGGCTCATCGTCAGTTGGTAGATCAAGCAGAGAATCGGCGACGATTGCACCCTGCTGCAGCTCTTTCACCTTTCTCCTTGAAATGGTTTTCGCACCCCTCCGTTGGGAATGAGAGGGAAGGCAGAGTGGGAATCTTGATCCCAAGGTTTGACGTGGGATGCAGGGTGGGAGACGGTATTGAATCAGAGCAGGACTTCTTTCAATGACCCAGAAATTCCTTTTGCGCAGAAGGCTGGCGCTGCAACGCATGGAGAGGGAATCAACATGCTCCAGGGAACCTCAGACGATGCGGCAACACGAATAGCACGCGTTAAGTCCAAAGTACGCGGGACTAGATTGAAGGTGCGGAGAAGTTTGTTCAAGAAAGGCATATCTGGCTGCTTTAACAAGAAGGGGACCTTGAGATGGTAAAGCGGCGTGTCTGGGAGGGGAGCGCCAAGCAATTGGAGTATCTTCAATTTTTGGACTGCGGCGTTGACCAGGCACGAGCTCGCTAATATAACCATATATCGCCGCCAGGCTTCACATCTCATCAACTCCGTCGAAGGAACAGGCACAAATATACATCCCTCGGTCTTCCTACGGCCGGTCTCTGAGAAGACATGCGTGGCTGAGAGAGACAGCACACCTATCGATTTCCTAATCTCCTCCGACTGAACACAAAGGTTCACTTTTCTCGATAGCCTTCAATCACACAAGCCACCGCCAACATGGCCGATCCAAACAATGTTGCCCAGTACAAGTACTCGGCGATGTCGAACCTGGTTCTCCAGGCCGACCGCCGATTTGTCTCCCGCAGAACGGATGAAAACACTGGCGACCCAGAGTCGCTGGCTGGACGACTGAACATTAGAGACATGGGATCGCGAGTGGGACGGCCAGAGGCCCCGAAACAGAAGAAGTTAGCTTCGGGCCTACAGGGTATGGAAAGGTCGTCCATACGAGAGGGCGAAGACGTCCTCGAACGAGAACGGAAAAAAAGAAAGAGGGGCGAGCCTGCGCAAACTCGGGGAGCTGGTATTCTGTCTGCTGGCGACGCGCTGATCGAAGGGCTCAAGTATAGGCCTAGGACTCCCGCCACTCGTGCCACCTATGACTTGCTGCTTCATGTCACGTCAAATGCATTGGGAGATGTATCTCAGGAGACGGTGCGAAGCGCCGCTGATGCCGTTCTCGAGTATTTGAAGGATGAAAACATGAAAGATTTGGACAAGAAGAAAGAGATCGACGATCTTGTGGGCATTACCATGACTCCTAAGCAGTTCAATGAGCTTGTCAATCTCGGTAAAAAGATCACAGACTATGGCGCCCAAGATGGTGACGAAGACATGGCCGACGGTGATGGTCCAGATGAGGCTGAGCTAGATGATCGACAAGGTGTCGCAGTTGTATTTGACGAATCTGACGACGATGCTGACGAGGACGGCATTCAACGGACCTACGAGGTTCGTGACGAAAGCGAAGGGTCTTCAGATGAAGAAGGTGATGATGCACAAGACCAACCGAGCCTTGAAGAATCTGCCGCGGCCGGAGGAGCTGGAGCTCCCGATGAAGATGACGCTGATGACACTGGAATGGTTCTAGATGGTGGACTTGGAGACTCTAGTCGAAGAAAGAGAGATGCGGTCGATCTCGTCTCCGTCCACGAAATTGATGCCTACTGGCTGCAAAGGCAGATTGGTGCTCTCTACTCAGACGCACATTTGCAACAACAAAAGACCAAAGATGCCCTTCAAATTTTATCAGGAAAATCATTGGAAGGCGAACATATTTCCCTCCGAGACATCGAAAACGACCTAATGGATTTGTTCGACTATGAACAACCCGCGATCGTTAGCAAATTTGTTTCGAACCGTGAGAGGATTGTTTGGGTGACAAGATGGCGGAGAGCTGCCGAAGATGATGACGCTCGTAATCTCGTTGAGAGCGAAATGGTCGAAGCTGGTCATCGAAGTATTCTTGACGAATTACTAGGAACCTCGGATCGAAATAGAGAAGGTCAGCGGCCTGCAAAGAAGATGAAGCTGGATCTGATGGACCTGGATATTCCCAAAGCGGAGACCAATCCCCAGCAGGCTGATAAGAAAGATGGCGTGCTATCCGGAGAATTGCAACCTCAGCGCTTGATAAATCTGGACAACCTTGTCTTCGAACAAGGCAACCATCTCATGACCAACCCTAAGGTTGTCCTCCCGGCAGGCTCAACTAAAAGGACATTCAAAGGCTACGAAGAAATCCACGTCCCTGCTCCAAAGGCCAAGCGGGACCCCGGTGAGAAAAATATTCCAACAAGTGATCTGCCTGACTGGGCACGCCAGGGCTTTGGTTCTGCGAAAGAACTCAACCGCATACAATCTAAATGTTATCCCTCAGCCTTCCATGATGACGGTAATATGTTGATCTGTGCCCCAACGGGCTCGGGCAAGACTAATGTTGCTATGCTCACAATCCTTCGAGAGATCGGCAAACATAGGAACCCGGAAACAGGTGAAATCATGCTCGACGATTTCAAAATTGTTTACATCGCTCCGTTAAAGGCTCTTGTCCAGGAGCAAGTCGGTAATTTTGGGAAACGTCTGGAGGTGTACGGCATTCGAGTTTCAGAGCTTACCGGTGATCGACAGTTGACAAAGCAACAGATCGCAGACACGCAGGTGATCGTCACAACCCCTGAAAAATGGGATGTCATCACTCGAAAAGCAACCGACATGAGCTATACGCGGCTTGTTAGGCTGGTAATCATTGACGAGATCCATCTGCTTCACGACGATCGTGGTCCAGTTTTGGAGAGCATTGTCAGTCGGACCATCCGGAAAATTGAACAGACAGGCGATCCAGTCAGGATAGTAGGCTTGAGCGCAACTCTACCAAACTACCGCGATGTCGCGACCTTCTTAAGGGTCGATCCGGAGAAAGGACTATTCCACTTCGATGGGTCCTTTAGACCTTGCCCACTTCGACAAGAATTCATTGGCGTGACCGACAAGAAGGCTATAAAGATGCTCAAAACTATGAACGATGTCTGTTATGCCAAGGTCATTGAACATGTCGGCACAAATCAACAGCAGATGCTTATTTTTGTTCACTCTCGGAAAGAGACTGCGAAGACTGCAAAGTATATTCGTGACAAAGCTGTCGAATTGGAGACCATTGGCCAGATCATGCGAAGTGATGCTGCAAGCAGATCAGTTTTGCAGGAAGAAGCCGACGCTGTGAACGACGCCAATTTGAAAGAGTTGTTACCCTATGGATTTGGGATACACCATGCTGGAATGGGTGTTGCAGATCGCACTTCCGTTCAGGATCTATTCGCTGATGGTTATCTTCGAGTTCTGGTTTGTACGGCGACTTTGGCATGGGGTGTAAATCTTCCAGCCCACACAGTCATTATTAAAGGTACCCAAGTCTATTCTCCAGAGAAGGGCAGCTGGGTTGAGTTGAGTCCACAAGATGTGCTGCAAATGCTTGGCCGAGCTGGTAGACCACAGTTTGACTCTTATGGTGAAGGTATCATCATCACTTCACAACCGGAGATCCAGTACTACTTATCATTGATGAATCAACAACTCCCGATTGAGAGTCAATTGATGGGCAAGCTCGCGGACAACCTCAATGCCGAAATAGTTCTGGGTAATATCCGCACCAGAGACGAAGGCGTGGAGTGGCTTGGATACACCTACCTTTTTGTCCGCATGATTCGATCTCCGGGGCTTTACAGTGTTGGAGCAGACTACGGCGACGACGAGACTCTCGAGCAAAAACGTGTCGACTTGATCCATTCTGCAGCTATTGTCCTTGAGAAAGCTGGTCTCGTGAAATATGAGAAGAGGACTGGCAAGTTGCAGGCTACCGATCTGGGCCGCATCTCATCGCACTATTACATCACCCACAATTCCATGCTCACCTACAATAATAATCTGCAACCCTCGATAAGCACCATCGAGCTTTTCCGGATCTTTGCTCTGAGTGATGAGTTCAAATACATTCCAGTGAGACAAGACGAAAAGTTGGAATTGGCCAAACTTCTTGGAAGAGTTCCAATTCCAGTCAAGGAAGGCATGGAAGAACCACAAGCTAAAATCAATGTACTTCTCCAGGCATTTATTTCGCGCTTGAAATTGGAGGGTCTTGCTTTGATGGCTGACCTGGTTTACGTCACGCAGTCAGCTGGGCGAATCCTGAGAGCGCTTTTCGAAATATGTCTCAAGAAGGGATGGGCATCCGTTGCTAAAATTGCTCTTGATCTTTGCAAAATGGCTGAGAAGCGAATGTGGCCTACCATGTCTCCTTTAAGACAATTCCCAATGTGCCCTAGAGAGTACGTCCAAAAGACTGAGAGGATGGAAGTCCCTTGGTCCGCCTATTTTGATTTGGATCCACCTAGAATGGGAGAACTGATAGGCCTTCCAAAAGCTGGTCGTGTTGTTTGTGATCTTGTCTCAAAATTTCCGCGACTAGAAGTTCAAGCACAGGTTCAGCCTATGACGAGGTCTATGCTGCATGTCGAACTGACCATAACGCCCAATTTCGTTTGGGACGACGCCTTGCATGGAACAGCAGAAACATTCTGGATCTTGGTCGAGGATTGTGATGGAGAAGAAATATTGTTCCATGACCAGTTCATTCTACGACGCGAGTTTGCCACGAGTGATTTAACAGAGCACCTCGTTGATTTTACAGTCCCAATCACGGAACCAATGCCTCCCAATTACTTTATCACCATCCTATCCGACCGTTGGATGCATTCAGAGACTAAAGTTCCGGTGTCTTTCCAGAAACTCATTCTGCCTGAACGGTTTGCGCCTCACACACAGATCCTCGACCTACAGCCAGTACCAGTACAAGCGCTTAAAATCAGGGAATACGTAAGCATATACCCTAAGTGGGATAGATTCAACAAGATTCAAACCCAGGTCTTCAAGTCGCTCTACGACAGCAATGACAATGTGTTTGTCGGGGCACCTACTGGTAGTGGGAAGACCGTGTGCGCAGAGTTTGCCCTGTTGCGCCACTGGAAGAACCCGGAGGCCGGCAAGACAGTCTACATTGCACCATTCCCAGAATTGGTTGAACAACGTCTTACTGATTGGCAAGAGCGCCTGAGCCAGCTAGCGGGAGGGAAGGCAATCTCAAGTTTAACCGGTGAGATCACAGCAGATCTGCGAATACTCGATCGTTCAGATCTCGTGCTAGCCACTCCAAACCAATGGGATGTCCTGTCGCGTCAATGGCAGCGTCGAAAGAACGTGCAAGATGTGGAGCTCTTCATTGCTGATGAGCTCCATATGCTGGGCGGCGAAAATGGCTCAGTATATGAAGTTGTGGTGTCCAGAATGCAGTACATCCACATCCAGCTGGAGAACAATCTGCGAATCGTTGGCTTAAGTGTACCGCTCTCCAACGCAAGAGATGTTGGCGAATGGATTGGTGCAAGCAAGCATACAATCTTCAATTTCAGCCCAATGGTCCGACCAGTTGGTTTGGAACTTCACATCCAGTCATTTACCATACCACATTTCCCTTCGTTGATGATGGCGATGGCCCGGCCGACATATCAGTCCATACTACATTTGTCACCAGATAAACCAGCGATTGTGTTTGTACCAGGACGGAAGCAAGTTCGATCCACTGCGCTCGATATTTTATCTGCGTGCATCATGGATGACGACGACGAGCGGTTTCTTCATACTAATGTTGATGAGCTACAACCTTTCCTAGAAAGAATCAACGAGGGAGCACTAGCAGAATCTTTAACGCACGGTATTGGGTATTACCATGAAGCTCTATCAACGAGCGACAAGCGCATAGTCTCACATCTTTTCAAGATCGGAGCTATACAGGTGATGCTAGCTTCGAGGGATGTGTGTTGGGAGATACCATCTACTGCACACCTTGTTGTGGTGATGGGAACACAGTACTTCCAGGGCCGCGAACACCGATACGTCGACTACCAAATCAGCGAGATTCTACAAATGTTTGGGCGGGCCTGCAGACCAGGAGAGGACCGAATTGGAAAGGGAGTGTTAATGGTGCCTGCAGTCCGAAGAGAATATTACAAGAAGTTTCTCAACGAGGCTTTGCCCATCGAAAGTCATCTGCCTTTGTCACTGCACGATGCATTCGTTACTGAAATCAGTACCAAGACGATCACCTCCACCCAGGATGCAGTGGATTGGACAACTTATTCCTACTTCTATCGTCGCCTCCTAGCGAACCCAAGTTTTTATGGATTGAACGACACATCGCATGATGGTCTGAGCACACATCTTTCTGAATTGGTGGAAAATACGTTGAAGGAGCTATCGGAAGCCAAGATCATTGATCTGGACGAGGAGGATGATTCTGTTATACCTCTGAATCCAGCAATGATTGCAGCGTACTACAACATCTCGTTCATTACGATGCAAACTTTCCTCTTGTCCTTGACAGGCCGCACGAAACTGAAGGGCATGTTGGAGATTGTGACATCGGCTACCGAGTTTGAGTCGATACAAATGCGACGATATGAAAACCAGATCCTTCAACGGATCTATGATCGGGTGCCCGTCAAGATGTCTGAGCCAGCATTTGACTCGCCGCATTTCAAAGCTCTGGTGCTCCTGCAGGCGCATTTCTCACGCATGCAACTTCCAATTGACCTGTCCAAAGACCAGGAAGTTATCGTGTCCAAAGTACTCAGTCTGCTTTCGGCGTGCGTGGATGTACTTTCGTCCGAAGGACACCTCAACGCGATGAATGCTATGGAGCTATCACAAATGACGGTTCAGGCCATGTGGGACCGTGACAGCCCATTGCTCCAGATTCCTCATTTTGATAGCAAGATTGTGGACATCCTTGCTAAGCAAGAAATCAAGGACGTTGATGATTTTATGACGGCCATGGACCCGAATGAGAATCCCAACCAGGGGAATCTTGTGGCAGCAATGGGGTTGAGCAACCGACAACTTGTTGAGGCAGCCAATTTCACGAACGCCAAGTATCCCAATCTTGAACTTGAATTCGATGTCCTGGAGAAAGAAGATGTCACGGCGGGCCAACCGAGCTACTTACAAGTGCGCGTGTCACGAATTCTAGATGAAGAGGATGAAGAAGACGAGGAGACGGAGGTGGATCTGGAGGTGCACGCACCATTCTATCCTGGGAAGAAGATCCAGAATTGGTGGTTGGTGGTGGCCGAAGAGAAGACTAAATCGCTGCTCGCAATTAAACGAGTAACAATTGCGAAGAAGCTCTCCGTCAAATTGGAGTACGTGGTCCCAACACCTGGCGAGAAGGACTTGACACTGTTCCTGATGGCGGACTCGTATGTTGGGGTCGACCAGAGTATGGCATTCAGTGTGGACGTGGCGGAAGGGATGGATGAGGATGAGGATGAGGATGAGGATGAGTAGTCAAAAATCTGTGCTAGGGCACTTGGAATATTATGTAACTGTACAATCGATGCACTTTGTCGCCTTCGCTGAAAATCGATATACACCTAGAGAGAAGTGGAAAGTACATCACGGTGCCTCCGTTGTTATTGCAGTTGGTATCGTGCGCCAGCAAAAACTGGCTTGTCAGAGATCTGCCGCTCAAATGGCCACGGCCGGAAATACTATGTTGCGCCACGCAATTGCGTTGCTGTAAGTTCGGTCTGACGGTCAAATCACGTGCTGCAGACGGCCAGGATGTCGGGGGTCATTGTCGGGGCTGAAATACGGATGCTTGTAGGAAGAGAACCGCAACCGAGCCTGATGGAGGAGTATAGCGTTCTAGAAAGGCTGAAACATGGGCGGGCTGACGGGCGAATGATAATGGGTGGGCGCTGAGTTGCTGACTGCACAAGTGTTCAGACGTACGAGTAACAGAGTCAGGGCGAGATAATAATAGGGCGACGAAGATTACAGTAATAAGTTGGTCAGGCTGAACAGATGGAGGAGTAATGACTGAGTGAGCGCGGGAGATGAGGGGCGGGAATGGGAAAATTTGATCGAATTTTAGGTAAGTGAGGTTCAAATGACAGACCGCTATACCAGGTACCTCGAAGAAGGGAGCAGCGGCCGGGATGGGTTTGGAGAAAGGAGGGGGCATGGGACGCCTGGGTTGTTACTACGAGTAGTTGGTACTCGTAGTTAGTAGCAGTAGCCTGTATGTAGTACGGAGTACTCCGTTAGGAGTAGCGGGCAGCCCTGAGACTGCCTGCTACTCTGAGGGGTGTTTGGCGCGTTAGTGGGGAGCCTGTCAGCCCTACGGATTGATAGATCAACTTGGCGATTATGGTGGGGGAACGAGTATGTAATTGCACTTGTGCGTTTCATGGGAGAATGGGACACAGCCAAGTGAGGGTACTGGTAGTATACTCAGTACTGTACTAGTAGTGGTACTCCGTACTGTAACAAGAACAGCAGGCTGCGGCTGCAGGAGTGAACATTTGTGTAAGCCCATCAGGATTACAAAAGTATAAGACGGTCCTCGCATGTCGTAACCTCTTCCAAAAGGCCAATTCCGCCCCAAAGCCAATTCACGAAACACCGTCCTAGCCGTAAGACAAGACCTGACGACTGATCATTACGAGGTCCTGACGGAGTCGTCGTCCACCTCAACACATTACAGACCGACAGTACATACCAGCATTTTCATGGCGTGGTAGGTGATTGAATGATTGTGCGACTCTACAACTCGACAACACTGATTGCCTCCCCGACTGTTCTACATACCAAACCAACAAAGAGCCAGACATTCCAGCCTCATCAAAGGCTTCAATTGTCAGCAGCATCCTTTGCCCCTCACCGACGGACTGATGCCTGCAGATTGTGAGTGCTGCCTTAGCTTGGATCCTCTTTCAGCCCAACCCTAACGACCCTTGAGAACATTTTGCAGCTGCTTCCACCAGTCATTCTTGGTAATTTACGAGGGACATACATACGAGACAGGCAGGTCTCTGTTTCCATACCTCCTGGGCGCCTCCGCAGCAATAATACCTGCCCCCCCAACGCAGGCCTAAAGCATCCCGTGCCACGAACCCGGGTACCGAACAGAAAGTCTTGTTGCTGGCGGTCACGGTGTTGGCTGTTTTTCTTGGTACTTCCGCATGTACAGTACGAACTCGCGCTCCTGCTCCTCCTGCTACTCTTGTTCCTGCTGTTCCCGCTGTTCCCGCTCCTGCTATGCTACCTGCGCCGAGAGGCAACTCGCATCCTTTGCTGTCCTCGTACTCTGCTTTCCTTTCCACTCTCGGCTCTGACACTTTTTAATTATTGGTTTTGGGGCTGCGTTTCTCCCCTCCCAGGGTTGGCTCTTCTTTGCCTCTATTCTAATCTCTGCAGTCTAGGTAGACGGGGCAGCCATCCTTCCGCTTCTCAGCCCTCAGCCCTCAGCCCTCCCTTCTCTTCTACCCTCAGCCACACTACGAGGCCTCAAACCTCCGAATTCTCACTACTCCGTATCTACTACTGCCACGGCCACCGCACACTAGTCGGCCACTACGCTGGTTAGCAAGGACGGGACTCACACCAAGCACAACCGCACACGCCTGCCCTTCTCGCTCTCCCACCTCTCTCCTCCGCCTCGAAACGAAACCCTCTTTTGATTTCTGACACGCTCTCTCCCTCGTAACCCTCCTGCGCGTTTCCCTTTCTTTTCCACCTCTCTCTCCCCCACCAAGCCTTCGATCCCGACTCAGCTCGTCGAATGTCATGAGCTCTCGCTTCAAGAGTCTAGGCTTCGGTTCCAAACGAAAGAGTAGCGCCAACATCCAGAACAACTCCGCCGCCTCGCCCAACGGTTCCACCTCCACCGCTGGCACTCCCCCTCCCCCCAATTCCTCTCAGACCAGCTTGCAGCAGCCTCCCATGAACCAGCCTGGTGCTCCTGGTCGTCCTCCAAGCTACTCTTACAACACCGTTGCTGGCCGTCCCCAAAGTCCCATGCCCCCGCCCGGCCAAAATCAAATGGCTCATCATCCTCCTCCCATCGACACCTCGCGCGGTTATGGCGCACCAGCTCAGCAAATGGGGCCTCCGCAGCCTCCTGGCTACGGTGGTGCCTATGGCCAACAGCCCATGCCTCCTCAGCCCGGTATGCAACACATGGCAAATCAGTATGGCCCTCCTCGTCCTGCCGAAGTCGAGGGCGCGGGTCGCAGCAGCAAGGCTCAATTGATAGTCGGTATTGATTTTGTAAGCTTCTGCTGTCCATCCTATCCGTCTCATACGCCTTACTAACCATTCGTTCAGGGCACAACTTTCTCTGGCGTTGCTTTTGCCTTTGCGACCAACACTGAAGCCAAAGAAGACATCATCACCGAGTGGCCTGGTGCCGGCAACCAGACGAAACAAAAGGTATCCTCTACACCTGGTACGGCGTCCATAATAGCTAACCTACCAAATTCAGATTCCTACCGTCCTCTACTACGATCAATACCAGAAAGTTGTGGGCTGGGGTCCTGATATCGCCGATGCTCTAGCTCCCACCGGTTATCCCAAGCCTGGGGTCCAGAAAGTCGAATGGTTCAAACTTCAACTCATGCTTTCGGGCAATACTTACATAGATCCCATCAACCTTCCGCCACTCCCTCCTGGGAAGTCCGAAATCGATGTCGCCGCCGACTATCTCTTCAAGCTGAGGCAGGCAATGAGAGTCCAATTACAAAAGACTCTGGGTGAGGTCTTCAACCGAGAAGAACGCAACATTCGATATTTCTTGACCGTCCCGGCCATCTGGAACGACGCTGGGAAGGCGGCAACCAGGGCTGCTGCAATTCAAGCTGGCTTTATCCGAGACGAGAATGACAATCGACTGACCCTCATCACCGAACCCGAAGCTGCCGCCATGTTCTGCTCAAAGACTGGTCTTCTCAACCTCAAAATCCACGATGCCGTTTTAATTGTTGACTGTGGTGGTGGCACAGTCGATTTGATCGCATATGAAGTCGAGGAAGAGACTCCATTCACCGTTGCTGAATGTACCGCAGGTAGTGGGGATTCCTGCGGTTCTACTGCTCTAAATCGAAACTTCTCCAACATCCTCCGAGCAAAAATCAGAAAAATGAAATTACCTGATGGCTCCAAGACAGCTGGCAGAGTCTATGCCAAATGTATCATGGACTTTGAAAACAGAATAAAGGCCGATTTCCGCAACAATGGTCAAAAATGGGCTGTCGATGTCGGTATCGAGGCTGAATTCCCCGAAGCCGGTATCGAAGAAGGCTACATGACCTTTACCAACGAGGAGATTCTGCAATGTTTCGAGCCTGTGGTCAATCGAATTCTCGAGCTGGTTCGAAATCAAATCATTGCCATTCAAGCTCAAAACAGAGCATTACAGAATGTGCTTGTGGTTGGTGGGTTCGGCGCTTCAGAATATCTCTTCCAACAAATCAAACTCCACGTGCCTCCGCAATTCCAGTCCAAGGTCGTTCGACCCATGGATTCCGTCGCTGCAATTGTTAAAGGTGCTGTCACTGCAGGTATCACCGAAAAGGTTATTACTTCTCGTGTTGCCCGACGACATTATCTCATGGCAACCTTACAACCTTTCAAGGAGGGTCATCATCCCGAGCAATATCGTGTGCCAAGTTTGGATGGAAAAGACAGGTGCAAGTATACCAGACAAATCTTTGTCCAAAAGGGCGAAAGAGTCAAGATTGGCGAACCCGTCAAAGTCTCCTTCTTCCGACAAGTCGCTCCAGGTGCTACACTCATGTATGAGGATATCCTATACGCTTGCGACGAAGATGTTTGGTAAGTTTGCAGCTGGACAGTTTCTTCCTCGTGCAAGGTTTTTATTAACTCGGTTTGTCTTAGTCCCGAATATACAAAAGATCCTCGAATCAAGGAAGTGGTCACTCTTACTTCGGACCTCTCAAGAAAGAATCTCGAAAAAGACTTCGAACGCATGGATACACCTCAAGGAACCTTCTACCGTGTCTACTTTGACATTTATTTGACGCTCGATGGATCCGAGTTTAATGCAGAATTGGTTTGCCAAGGCGAGGTCATGGGCAGGTGCAGTGCCAGGTTTAGATAGTGAAATCATTACAATTGATCGAGTCGAGTCTGTTTGCTGAAGATGGAGTAAATGATCAGCCTCAAGCATGCCACAGGCCGTGAATCCATCTGGGAACAGCACCACAACTTATATTGAAGGATTGTTTGGATTATTCTCTCTCGAAAGCAGCATCGGATCAATGTTTGTTTGTGAAGGCGATCCAATCCGATTTGGAATTCCATACGAAGCAATGCGGTACGTCTTTGGAAGACTGGGAAAAGAACAAGGAGAGGCAATTGCATTGCATTTCGATGGCAATGGGAATTGAGAGAAGAGGAACCAAGGAACGTAATGCAGCAATGAGGGAATGCAGGGAAACCGTGAACCGAGATGAACCCGAGATGATGGACGATGGCGATTATTTCTTATGCAAAGAGAGCCCGATAGCGATAGTGGGATCTCGTTGCGCACACCCGTTGTGCATGACTTGGTGGAGAATAAGACCAGGAATTGCGATTAGAGATACCGCGTCAGGCGAATTGTCTGTCCCTGGAAAATCACATACCCCCTTTGATGAAATGAGTTTGCGATTCGATGCGACGCGGTGGGAGAAAGGAGCGGAGGAAAGAACAATGTAGCACAGAATATGATTGAGAGAGTCAATCCAAGGCGAGACTTTGACCTGATGATTTCTGAAACGGTGAAATACGGGATATGATGAAGCGTCCTGGTGTTATAATGTAGTTGCTCACCCGTCCAGGAAGTAATCAGAGTTGAAGGATTCTGGAAAGCAAATGGAAGCATGTCAAGGTACGATGTGTACGAAGCACCGAGCCCACAAATGACTTAAGAGGTGCAAGGCTGGGTTGATCGGGTGGGTCACAGGCTCCCTCCCCGTGCCACCTCTATCAGATGTCCGCGCCCCTCACCCATTGTCGCATCGAGGAAAGATATATCAAAAGACAACGCATGCGTTCCGACGTCAAATTGTAACGCTCATGGTCCTTCACGGTCGCTTACGCATTTCCCAAGTACGAATATCCGCCGAAAGGGCGGCACCTGTTGAAATCACCTTTCTTCTTAGGCTTACAGAATCATCCACCTCCTCACTACCCATCTAAATTACTCGGGACCGAAAAGCCCAATTGCTGTTTACTGTTTAATCCTAGAGGGTGAGCGAAGGCTCCTTTACCCTGAGCTTTAACTAAGCATTGAGCGGAGCATAGATGAGGAATGAGAGAAGGTCCTGAGTATATATTTGCGCACCACATCCTCCGGAACTCTTTGAACACTAAGGGTCTTTGCTCTTGACCTCCTACCGAGATACTAAAGTCTGCCTTGTCTGTTTTCTCCTCCCTATCGTCGTCCCATTTCTCTCTAGCTCGTCTCTCGCCTCTGACTACTATGTCCATTATTGACTAGAAGAACGGCACCTGGGATCTCGATATCGGGTGGTATGTCCCCGATGACCCCCTCGGTGTGCCGCACAAGGTATGCATCTACGGCAATCCATGTATTCTCCACCACGTTGACGATCCGGTAAAGGAAGGTCAGGTGATTAGAGAGTACGAGACATAGTTATCTATGGTCCAGAAGATGGATAGCTACCTACGGCCACTCAATCACGGCCTTGATGCAATTACCGGAAGCAGCGTCTTCATGGGCCTTTTCGATGTCCTGATACGGATATTTTGTGATAATCTGATCGACAGGAAAACGCCCCGTTTTGTAGAATTGTATTAGAAGAGGAATGAACTGGTCTTTTGGTTAGTTCGATGCTCTACAGACTTACCCCGACAATGGAGTGACTTGTCATACCTTTTGAGGGACGGAGGAGCCCTGGTGTGCGCCCATATATTTCACTCCTTTCGATAACCACATGCCAGGCTCAATCTCGATCACTGTGCCCGTCGGAGAGGCTCCCACTGTCACTGCCAGTCCTCCCGGTGCCGTGGCAGCCAGCATTGCTCGTATAACGTCAATGTTGCCCGTGGCGTCGAAGGCACAATCAACCCCCAGCTCGCCTGTCAATCTCAATATTTCCTCAACTGGGTTTTGTCTAGCTGAGTTGATGACATTTGTAGCGCCGAAATGACGTGCCAATTCAAGCTTCGTTTCCACAATATCGATGGCGATGATCGTTGCTGCCGGTGTTATTCTGGCGGCCATCACACCCGCCATGCCGACGGCACCAACGCCGAATATTGCAATTTTTGAACCCGTTGGTGGCCGAAGAACGTTCAACACCGTCCCGGCTCCAGTTTGCATACCGCAACCGAAGGAGCAAAGAATGGATAGTGGGATGTCCTTGTCCACTTTAACAGCTGAACACCCTCTGGCCACGATTTTCGTAGCAAAAGACGACTGCCCGAAGAAATGAGAGCCGATGGGAACACTGTCCGAGGGAGTATGCCATGCCGTCGTACCATCCAAGCGAGCCATTTTGAAGTTGATGTCGAATAGCTTGGAACAGTATGCCGGAATCCCGTTGAGGCAGCGAGCGCATTTCTCGCATGACGAGAAAGATAAGAGGACATGGTCTCCAGGTGCGATATGGGAGATTTTGGAACCGACTTGTTCGACAATTCCCGCTCCTTCATGGCCGCCGACGAAAGGGAATTTAGCGGGTGTTATGCCCTTGAAACAATGATCAGCGAGAAGAATTCATCAGCCCAAGTTACGTCGAGCTGTTTCCACGCTGGCTTCACATATTATATACTATTCAGCCAAACTTAGTGGCAACTCACTGTCTTGCAGCCAAAGTCAGTATGACACACCCCGGTGGCCACCATGCGAACTACTAATTCATCGTCGCGAAAGCTGTCTAGCACAAGCTTCTGAGGTTCAAAGCCTCCATTCAGCTTGAAACAAACCAAGGCTACCACCTCTTCCATGATGTCGAATACGAATAGATGCTTATAGTTGAGCAAATTAGATGACTTCGATCCCTCCTTGCGATCGGTCTTTCAAAAAGTTGACGGTCCCGATGGTGCACTTTCGCCTTCCCAGCACCTTGCCGTTGACTGCAATCTTAAGTAAGATGACGCCATTTTCATCGTCCATTATAAGAATAATAGGGGAAGACATTTGGTCGACACGTCACACACGAGCGGGACAAATAGCCGACTTTCATATACTTACCGGCTCTCGTGCCGCCGCTGGTCGACAATCGTCGGGTTCTCCAAACAACAAACGGCAGGCGAGGAAGGATCTCACGTGCGAGGTACGTGGATTCAAGCTCCCAGGATTGATCATCCAAAGTCTACCCTCATCGTGAAAAGTATAACAGGATCTCCGACGGAATCAGCTTAGTGGTAACATTTCTTTATCGGGTGGTCGGTCCTCTCGGTGTGAGTTGGGACTGATATTGCCCACAGCCTCGCTGTTTGTAGAACAGGTGAGGAAAGATATTCAGAGGTGAAAGTGCATCCACCCATATTTTTATTTTCTTCAGATCATGCGAGCCTCAGAAATTGGTGTGAAGAACTACTATATAGTTGGTCTTTTACGAAGTCTAGCAAATATTTGAAAGGCATAATCTCAGAATTATAGCACCCTTGTGCACCTTGTTGTAACTAGCTAGTACCCCTTTTCTGTCCCACTCGAGAGTGGAGTTGGGAATTCCCAAGCAGGTAGTCTATTCGTCCGATCCGGTCGCGCGTAATACCAGGTGGAGTCAGACCCGTCAATTTCAGAGCAGTCGAAACCATTGCCCATGTATGCAAATCTGTTGCCGTAAACATACGTGATCTCGTAGTCCTCAAATCGAGGAGTCTCAATCGATCGCAAAGAATGAGCGCGAGATCCAGGCCAAATGGCCGGCATCCCGCTGGCATCCCCTCCCTTGAACCATGATCGACAGGCCTCGCCCCAGACTCCTCGCGTGATATAGGTGTCTGCGTGGGTTTTGAAGTCATGTGAGGCGTCCCACTTAGGAACGATCTCTTTGATGAAGTCGGTCTGAAACTTTGCAATCACTTGCAGGAAGTAGTTGTTAGCGTATTCAACTGTTTTGCTCGCAGAACCTTGCACGTATGGAGCATACGGTCCCATTGATACGAAGTAGTTGGGAACCCCTGGCGTTGCCAGTCCCATATACGTTGGTCTGTCGGATACTCCAATCCTAGGCGAAAGGTTTTCACCACGAACATTCAGGGGGAACCGCGGACGAAACGTGGTGACAAATCCGGTACAACAAATGATGACATCCAGCTCAACGTGCTCTCCCGTGTCGCGTATTAACCCAGCCGAATCGGCGCGGGTGATCCATCCCGATGCCAGTCTCACGTTCGGTTGTTGAAGAGCCTCTAAAAATCCGGTCCCTGGTGTCGGACGGCGGCAGCCCACAGGAAAGTCGACTGGCACCATGGCGTCTATAAGATCCTGGCGGTCACCAAGTCTGTCTAACATGGACTTGCGAGCCATCTCGTTTACCAAAACCATCTCTGGGGAGCCTTTAATGTACACCTTGAACAAGCCAGAGAGTTCCCGTTCAACGGACTTAACGTACTCCAGGTAGTCGATGGGATCCTTTGCAAACCGTTCTTTCAATTCTGGGGTATATTCCATATCTTTGCCATTTGGATCTGCAAATTTGGTGGCTAGATGTGGAACTATCCAAGTGGGCGTGCGATGGAATAAAACCATTGATCCTACTTCGGGGGCAATGGCTGCCACAGTCTGTATGGCAGAGCTTCCAAGTCCAATGACTCCGACGCGTTTGCCCTTGAGATCGAGCTTGGTGTCGTAGTGGCCCGAGTGAGTTTTGTCGCCTTTGAAATCGTGGAACCCCGGAATATCAGGCCAAGCCCAGTTGTTCAAGATACCGGAACCATTGATCAGGAAGTCGGCCTCCTCGGTGAAGATCTTGGTGGGGTCGTTGTTGGGCATGATGGTCACGCGCCATTGGCCCTTCTTGTCAAGAAAATCACAAGACATGACCTCGTGGCTGTATTTCACAAATTGATTAAGATCGTGCTCTTCTGCGGTTTTTTGCAAGTAGTTGCATATCTGAGGTTGGGACGCGTAGTACTTATCCCAAGTCGTCTTAAGATTCCTGTACTCCATTAGCATCGAGGTCTTCACGAGATTTTCAGCCGGAAGATGCACCATGAATACTGGTAAATTGCGATTGGAACGTCGCATGCGCATCCTGGATAGCTTTTCGTTCTCGTCAGTCATGGACAGATTGTGTGGATGCCAGCGTCACCTACGTGTTTTCGAACCATGTCCCACCAGCGGCGGGATTCTTTTCGTAAATCTGAAAGTCAAGATCGGGATGAGTTTTGGCCTTGTACGCGAAGTCGATTCCCGTGAGGCCAAACCCAATGAATATCACTTTCACTCTCCTTCTCTGCCCCAGTGCGACATCTGGGATCGTGTAGGCGCTTTTAGCACTATCGTTAGTTTCTTCTTTGGAAGCTGCCATCCTGGATGTCTTGAGTGCAGACTCCGATTCGACCTGACTGGGATCTCCAATCATTATAAGGAGAGGACTATGATTTCTTGACCAAGGCGTAGTTAGTTGGTTCGCGGCTTGATGGTTACTAAACGCGGTGACGGCTTGAGTTAGCACCCAAGGGGCTGACACGGTCTGAATTCCGGACGGTTACACGCAAGAATTCAGCACTTTCACATTATGTTGGCGTAGGCATATATTTGAGGCTTTGGACCTTGCGTGGTGAGCGGAGACATCAAGCAGCGGACCATGATCCGGATTTTCTTCAGATGACAGGAGCGCTAGATTGATTGGAAGCTTTTCAAACCCGTAAGGCCAGACTGCATGTCATGTGTTTCGGATGCGACCACTTGACGGCTCTGGTCAATGAGACTGCACTCTGCGGGAATAGTTACCGTTTAAGCCGTGCATGGCCGCTTGAGTGGATATCTAAGATGCTTTTGGAAGTACAAGCAATGTGCCACCGTTGACTGGGTTTTCCGGGCGTAATCTTCCAGTTAAATGGGAGTGGTTGTCTTGAAAAGAGATTGTCGCCTACTGTGTCAAACACTTGCCACTGACTTACATTTCTTTATTTCCAAGCGGCCTCATCACGCTGGTCTATCTCATTGCAGTCGCTGCCAGCCTTGCGGTCACACTACATCAATCATCCTAGCAATATGGCGCCAAGTCGATCGCAGCTGTTGAAAACAGCGACAGACTGTGTGAACAGGTTCAGCAATGGCAAGTCTTACGACATTCTTGCTATTCGAAGCGCAAAATGCTGCCACGAAATCGGTCCCCCTTGTATGGGAGTGCCGGCACCTTTGACGAAGGAAGAATATGGAGGCTGGTGGGACTCGTTCACACCGAAGGTGTGGCCCAATGGTATGGAGCTTTGGGTGGATAAGGAACGGGAACCGGTTGTCGACGAGCATAGCCGCCACGTGGTTTTATACTGCAAGAGTCGAGCTGAGTCCTACAAAGGGGTCTACGAAGGGACATACGTATTCAACATCACCGTTAGCGAAGATGGAGAAATGGTGGATGACATTGTTGAGTTCCTCGACAGCAAGAGTGCGCTGGACTATTCGACTAAGGCTTTAGAAACTCTGTAGAGGAAGACGGCTTCAAAATTGCCAAGACGGTAGATGAACCCACACATGAACCGAGATTCAAAGCTGTTAATTGAGCAAACTGCATGTGTGGTATCAGCGACCCGGGTACACCGTTGAGTCAATCCTCGGGCGGAATAACCGCAGCGCTTCATTTGGTAGCAAGATTGCGGATTTACAGGCATCTAACTGGTGCCGAGAAGGGTCAAACTCACTCTTCACCTTGAGGATGGCGGCACACCTTCCTACGTAGACTCTTAGTAAGCCTCGAAAGCTTGTGAATCGTAGCATTGCACACGAGAGTCTGATTTCTCTTTTTGGAGTTAAAAACTGGAAGCTCTCTATATCAACATTAGTACCAACATGCTGAGAGTTTTGCAGCCAACAAAGAAGTCTGGTGCCTCTAAGCAGTCTCCGCTTGGGAAACCAGCCTGGCTGACATTGGAAGAAGTCACACTGGCTTCTGACCGACATCTGATGTCCTGTGCTGGTATTGCAGGGGCCGATCTCGTTACTCCTGTGAGATGAACTGAGCTGGAACGAGTTTCCAGCACTGACCTTTCTTTAGAGCTGGGTTTGTCTTGGATACTAGTATTGATAACTCCAACCAAGCATGAAAGGGCTCATTCGAAGCCGGCCGCTGCGCTAGTCATTGCCGACAGTCTGAAGATTCTAGTACACGACTCTAGCTAACTGCGTTTAAGGACTCAGTAGGTCCGCGTCAATCCTGTGTGAGCACCGACTACCCGACTCCTTGTTCGGGTTCCGGTTGCTGTCATGCGCCTTTCGCCTCCATAATTCTTGACGACACGGTTTTTGTTGGTCTCTCATTCTTGGGGGTGGACGTTGCCGATGTAGTGGTCACGGTTGGGGAAGAAGCATTCTCTAAATACGGCTTCAAGTCGTGCGACTCAGTCTTCGGCTGTACTCGACTTGGGACGTCTGGCTACGGCAGTGCTCGGAAGTATTCTCTGATGCATGGCCAAGTCACTGTTCCCAAGTCGCATAACCTCCTTTTTGCTGAAGCGGCCACTTTTGGAGTGGCTAGCGAGACCGCCTGCAAAACCTCTTTGTAGCCCTTCAAACTCCTCTATCGACCCAAAAACTCATCCACTCTTGGATCGTTTCCGTTGCCCCAGCCACATCTACTCCATGGAAGTATTACTCCACGGAAGTATTGTAACGCCTTTGCCTTGCATAGAACGTTCACACTTCATTGTAGTCCCGGCGAGAGATACCAATCTCCGCCCTTGGGTAGGAAAATTGCGGATCCCTGCCCGAATGATTGAGCTTGATCAGCCTCACAATATCCGCCAGAGCACCCAGGCGAGATGGGTACCAACTTAAAGAATATCTTGATGAGATCTAACACACTCCATTACTCATAGATATTTCTTTCTTCGTAATCGGTCAGAAGGCTGCTCGTTTTCTGACCCCTAGGTGGGGTTGTCGACATCGGATAGCCAAGCCGCACAGGGAGTGATCATTTTCAACTTTGGGCCGAAGACCCCTCCATTGGGGAGGGGAAACGATATATGTATCACGAGAAGGAATACTTCAGAGTTCCCACCAATCTACTCCGCTCTTTTGACAGCCGAATTTCTAAACCACCAGTTGGCGTATTTTTGCAACATAATGGCTGTAGCAATCGTGACAGGTGGTGCATCGGGCATCGGACTGGCCATAACTAAGCTCTTGCTCATCAAAAATTACAAGGTCGTCATCGCGGACCGGAACGAAGAATTGGGAGAAAAAGAAGCCAAATCAGCCGGAGATCAAGATCATGTTACATTTGTCAAGTGCGACATTAGCAACTGGGAAAGTCAGGTCCAACTGTTTGAAACTGCAAAGACGAAATGGGGAAGAATCGATGTAGTCTTTGCCAATGCTGGCATCGGCGAGCAGGCACCCTCACTAAATTCAATGCCGGCTGAATTGACTAAACCCAACATTACTGCAATCGAGGTATGTTTTCACGGCACTCTCTTCTCTACGTACCTGGCGATACATTACATGCGGCAAAACAATGGTGAAGGAGGGCGGATCATCACAACTGGCGGCCAAGCAGGGATCTACGCTTTCCCAACTATGCCGGTATACTGTGCGACGAAAGCTGCTGTTCGTCTGTCCCTTTGTACTGCATGCCATTAGTCCAAACTAATCGAGCGTAGGTAATGACTATGTGTCGTTCTATCGCACTGGGGCTTTCCAAGGAAAAGATTTACGTCAACTGTCTCTCCCCAGGCTTGACTTTAACACCGGTCACCAAGAGCTTTCTTATGGACTTACCCCCGACCAAGGTAAGTCCCATGGAGAATCATTTGAAGGCTGTCGAGGAGTTTCTGGACACGAATATTTTCGGAGCAACAATAGAAAGTGATTCGGGAGGCTTGTACAACCGAAAGCGGCCGGAGCCATGGTCTCCCGAACATCAGTCATGGGTCTATGTGCAGGAAGAGAGTGAAATCGGCAGCTGAAAATTGGAATTTGGGCGAAAGTCTATAGACGGCCAGGTCCAAGCAGATACTTTTGACAAATTTGTCTCACTACCAAGTAATATATCATCAATATCACATTCACTAACAACCAATGCCGCCAGAAGACTGGTTGTAGTCGGACGAATGAAGACCAGACTAGGCATAATTCTGCGAGCATGAAGAACTGAGCAAGTTCAACTCATTGTGTGCTCAGTCTACCTGCAAGTGCTCTCAACTTCTCTCACACAGCAGGGTTTACCATTTCTCTGATAGCATCATACAGCTCACTTGTGCTAAGGTACACCTCATAGAAATCGGCTTGCCAGTTGCCCTCACCCTGGTCATGGAAAACCACCCAGCTGGCCCAATTGCAGTCCACCTGCCGCCCTGATTTCAACCAGTACGATACCGATCCATTTGCAAAGACCTCTTGCTTTCCGGGACTTGATACACCCAATGGTAAGAAGATCTTTCTTAACCGGTGCCTTTGGGCTACAAGGGGTCCCCTTTCCGGGTTTAGCGAATGCTCTCTGGAAATTTGAATTGCCTCTTTGCCGATGGCCACGGTAGGGCCGAAGTTTAGTTGGCCATTTGAAGTGAAGAGGTCCAGATACCTGTTCGAGGTTGGGTCATCTGCGTGCCGGAAGAAGGAAGAAAGCAGTTCGGCAAATGGAGCTTGGGCGGCAGATTGGTTCTCGAATGTGTAGTCGTCTGCCATGGTGAATGATTTCATCGCTTCTCCAACATGAGACCCGGTCAAGGGACCCGCCACGCTTTTTATCAGGCGTTGTTTCGGCACCACACCCGCAGCATCTTCGTGGTTAGCTGAACGGAGCGGATCCGCATTCTCCATTAGAGAACCCACGGCCTGCGGATCGTGACTACACCGACTCCAACTCCTCATGACTTTGAGGAGTCCGCTCTCTGCTATGCTATTTTGGTGTATGGATAGGGGGGAATCTCAATGGCAAGTACACAATAGAAGCATTTGCTTGCGTTAGACACAATAGACGAGATAATTGTAACAATCTTATCTCTTATTTAGGAGAAATGAGCTGCGTAAAGCTTGGCAAGGCGTGGGAAGAGGCTCAACGAATTCAGCCGCAGGATCTTCTCCATATCATCATTACTAAACAGGCCCGAGTTCTTAGGCGCATTATATCCTTCTAAGTAGGTCGTGTCATCGAATCTCATGGTGTAGGGATAATCGGTCGCGTAGAGAAGATGCTCCACTGGCATGCCTAAATCCTTGATGACCGGGTATTGCATGGGGCTGGAGATGCTGGTGTCAAAATAGACGTTCTTTGTGCTCAACAGCTCCCTCAGCGTCTTTCCGTCGTTTGCCTTGACAATGACATTGTCCATGTGCTGGCAGCCAATGCGGTCGGCAAGGTACGGGAAGGCACCTCCGTTGTGTGAGAAGAGAAACCGTACATTGGGGGTACGGAGTAGAAGACCGGAATTGATGATACTGGTAATAGCTCGACAGGTATCAAATGGAAATTCTTGGACGACTGATAATGCCATCAGTAAAGGAGCTCAAGCGTTGAAAGCTTGTTAATCAACTTACATGGGCCATAGTTGAGGCCAGGTGGCATGGCAGTGTCAGCCGGGTGTATGAAGATGACGGAGCCCAACTTATCAATCTCCTGCCAAATGGGCTCAAAGTTAGAATCACCTAAATATTTCTGACCTGTTTGTCGTCAGAAATCAAAGCCGAAAAGCCGCAAGAGGATAGAACAAACCCATGGCTGTCGTGACCGCGAACCCATCGGGCGGGGTTGGTGAAGTTGCCACATCACGAATGAACTCTACACTTGCCTGAACATGTGGCAAAGGCAAGACTGCGAAACATCCTGAAATGCAACGAATAAGCGAAAGACCCAGCTGATCGACCAATGCCAACGAGACCTACCAAACCTGAGGGGGTTGTATTTGACATACTCGAGCTGTGCTGATAGTGACCTTCGACACAACGAGACAAACTCATCCGTTGATAGTTTATTGTGCCATTCCCCCTTGATGGATGGGGCCTGATTTTGTCAGAGAAAGAAATGTACGGGAAGTGCATTCAGTGTCGTTCATACAATTACGGCTGTCTGGATGCCGACCTTGTCCATATATTCGAGATGCTCTTGAGGCGTCTTTGGAAATGGAGTGTAGTTCAAATTGTAGGAATTGTTTTCAAACTCTGACTGCAGCTCGGGAACAGTCCCTGGGAAGCAATGGTGGTGAACATCGACGCGACCAGGTCCCTCAAACGCCATTGACGGCACTCCACTTGCGCTCGGGTCGATAGTGCTCTCCATGCTATAATAATGATTTTTTGCCAATGTGTTCAAGTCGTGTTGACAAAATAGTAAGCCGTGTCTGCCTAAGTTTCGTTCGTATAGGAACAATGGTAATTAATATTGTGGGTACATGGAACTTAACACTGGTGAAGAGGTTAGAAAAATGCCGCTTGTATTCGGCCATGCGCTCCGTTACACAGTCCTGGGATGGAAGCTCGCAACAAAAATGAATAATGTAGATGCCTTCTCAATCAGCCGCAACTGTACGTGGAGGCTAATCAGGGAGTTCCGATTATGCGGTCTACAGTTCCGACGCACTATATCCCGCGAGCTGGTGATCAAACGACTGATGACATTACAAGCGAGTAAATCGGACGTACTTGCCATGAGAATACCTGACCTAAATAGGCTAGTAAGGGGATCTCAGCCTCGCGAGCCATAAGGCGTTTGACTAGTTCTAGGCCCTCTATTCTCCTCCACAGTGGTTTGTCAACTCAAATGCCATCTGAATTGAACACCTCGTCATGGTATTCACCACTGCTGGGTTCTCATGATTACATAGTTTCTCGATTTAGACACAGATAGCACTGATTGTAGCGCAGGAATTATCAGGCCCCGGAGAGAAACGAGCCACATGCTTTCAGAGTCTTGACCTCTAGTAAGTTTGAGTATACGGCGGAGACCTTGTGGCAGATAGGCTCCAGACTATCTGCAATCCTCCGGAAGACGATGCAGAGGGTGGACGTATGGCCAGGAATCATTCACCACTTGAGCAGCCGAATGGTAAATGTCAAGAAGCTCGGTCTCAAAAGCATCATTTGGCAAGGTGTGCTAGACTTATCACTCATAATAGTCGAGCCAAGGGGTTGCCAGTGTGGGACATCCCTATCACAACAAGCTAGAGGCCCCAGCCCCTAGGCGAAAGACGATGCCAGGCTCTACCGTGTGCCGCTTTGATCGATCGGACGCCAAGCCGGCTCGTCGATCCCGCAAATTCGCTAACACGGCCCGGGTCAACCCGCAGAGGGACTGACTACCGACCACACGAAAATTCCGGGGCAGGCCAGCTGTGGAGGTTCCTTCCCTTCCTATCTTCAGAATCTTGTCATTGTAGGTGCTGGATATTCAGCGTTAGCTCCGCGGCACACGATTTGTCATCTAAATTCAGGAAGTCGCCAGGGTACGGTAGAGTTCACTATTCGTTGCTCCAAGAACGGCATCTTAGCATCCATTAAAAGACTTGAAACTTTTTTCCCAGATAGCACATGGAGGGATCGCTAGTAAAACTCTCACGTCCGCAACAATGTCAGGTCAGCCAACAATCACTTTATATACAGCAGTGTCACCCAACGGTCACAAAATATCGATTACATTGGAGGAACTAGGTCTTCCGTACGAGGTGAGGCACATCGACCTACCAAAGCTGGAACACAAAGAGCCATGGTTCTTGAAAATCAATCCGAATGGCCGCATACCGGCTCTGACAGATGTGCTATCCGACGGAACTCCAATAAGCCTTTTCGAGTCGGGGAATATCATGCAGTATCTCGTGGATCGATATGACATTGAGCATAAGGTTTCCTACCCACGCGGGACAAAGGAGTATTATCAGATGAACAGCTGGGTAAAACATTCTGTCCATTAGTGTTTGAATTTACCTTGTCCAGGAATTAACAATTGTGACTCATGTAGCTACTTTTTCAATGCGCCGGAGTCGGCCCAATCCAGGGTCAGCTTCACTGGTTCCGGGTTTATGCTGATAAAAGTCAGAATGTGGAATACGCGACAGCACGCTTCAGCAATGAGGCGAAAAGGCTTTACAAAACCATAAATAAGCACTTGGAGGATGTTGGGACCGATTTTCTCGTCGGAAATAAATGCACCATCGCAGACATCGCCATTTCCACCTGGGCCAGGGCGATGCGTAAGTTTGCTTACCCACGGCAACTTCTTCGTCTAATCATCTCATAGCTATGGGCGCTTTAGACATTGCTACGTGGCCCCATCTCGAACAGTGGCAAGCGCGTGTACAATCACGTTCAGCCGTGATTAAAGGTACGGATATTCCCTCGAAGGTCCTAGATGCCAAGGCTGTTATGGAGGACAAGGAAACTCTTAAGAAATACACAGCACTCAATGCAGGCTGGGCTACTCGTGTCGAGAAGGAATAAGTTTCTCGAAAGTCTTGAAAGCACAGGATCGCTGTAAATAGAAACGACCAGCGGGGATTTCCTAGGTCAATCGATCTGCAAGGTTTACTCATGCATCGCTACCATGACTACGCAATCCTACTTAATTTAAGTGGCTACGCTTGTTAGAGATGTTAACGCGAAAATATCTACCTGTGAGTAGTCACCCGGGTGATTGAGACGAACGCCTGATTTTGTGGATAGTCACAACCATGGAAGCTATGCATAGCATCCAACTAGATAGAATACTTGCCTACGATCCGAAAAACTGTCAGCATTTCTTTCACGGAGATCACATCGTCTCGACAGGCTTACCACGTTGACGATGCCAAACTTTTCTGCTGCAGCGTTCTCGAAGCCCGCTGCATCCGCCAAATCTGTCATAATGAAGATCTCAAAATTGTTCTGGCCGTGGTTGTCGGCGAAATACCCTTCCAGCCATAGTACCTCGACGTCGGATCTCATGGTACGGCGTACGTTGTAGCCCTCTTGAAGCAATAGATCGACAACATGAGACCCTATCCTTGAGAAGGTAGTGAGGCAGTCTTAGAGAAAGAAATGAGAAAGTATCAGGATGAAGTCTTTGTCTTAGATCCCTCGTCAGTAACGCAACTTATATAGCTCCTCAATAGTTACTCAACTTGGATCCACAACTAGTCAAAGATAATTTACCTCGACCGACCGACATAATCATGGGATACAACAGTCTAAGACATCAATACCGGTTATGTAGGTTGGTCAGACTTACGTAGCCGTATGCACCAGTGACCAAGATCCATTCTCCGGCAGGGATGCGCGGATTTATTCGCCCTCCCATCTTGAAGGCCTTCCCCTTGTAGCTTGTGCGAGAGGAAAAAGGGGAACACAAAAGAGAATGGGCTTGTGAGGGTGTGTATTGGACCAAAGCTAGACTAGATGAAGCGAAGATGTATTGTGACTAGACCTCTGGCTGAAGCTAAGATCTTAAGAGCACATGTCCGGTGCTGGTATTATTGTAAAAAAAGGTTACTACTCACCCTAAATGGTACCTTGGCGAAGCCCTGACAGTGATCAGATCAAGAGTCGCGATCTTCTTCAAGACGCTATAATTGTCATAGCGAGTATGTCTCATGGGCGGGCGATACCCGACGATAAAAGTGATTGTCGACGCTCCCCAGAGAGCAGGTTGGAACCACGGGACAAGATCAGCGTCAAAGCCCAACAGAAAGCCAACCAGGTATGAGGGTAAACGTACAAACCAGTTGCGCCAACCAGTATGGGCGTCTCTCTTGAGACCGCCGAGGCTCAAAGGGACGACCATGCAAGAGAGTGCAGCTCTAGCTACAATAGAAGCTTGCGCCACTGCTTGACTACGGTTAAATAGAAAACCAATAAATCGAGGAGAAAGTTACTCGGTCGCCATTTCCGGGGTAAAATGGCGGGAACGGGGTAGACAATGGAGGAAATTGATACTCCGATGCCTTGGAGGACTTTGCCCAAGACTAACCGCCATAGCCTTTCCGCCCCTGCCGAAATTGCAGCTCCAATGAAAGACAGGATGCAGGCTCCCTCAATGGTCTCCTTTCGCGCCTACAAATTCTCTGATGCCACAGAAGGGACAGGCGATAATACAGCATTTGCAATCGGAGGGGCATTGGCGATTCAACTTTGGCTTTCCGTTGCGTGTAGGTCGCTGCCGACAAAGCTCAGCTATTCATCCACGGCTTTTATCAGCGGAATTTGTGACAGCAGTATAATTCCAGACTCCCAGGGCTGATGAGCCGCTGATGGTTGGTAAATTAAATGATAGATTTCTAAGCTAAGTTGCTGAATATGTCTCCGTTCAAGACTTGATTGATATAGTCATACACCCATTTCGAGCCACCATGCGGGGAAATCTATCTAGTTCTAGGCTATGGAAAAACCCTCTGGGGGATAAAAAACCATTGCCTCCCTAACACAATCTTCTTACTTTAAGTTGTCTTCATACCAGGCGAGATGCTGTAGTGCTTCGTATCTCCTCATGCGGACGCTGAAATCCAGCTGGTATTCTGCTCTTCTTCTTTCTCTATCCGTCACCCCCCACCGTAGCTATTCGTAATAGAGCGGTGCTTATCCCGAGCGCCAAAAGACTTGTCCTTCTATTCTCGAGCTGCTAGGCGGTGCCTTATAGGGATTCCGTGACTCGGCGACTTCTTGAACTCTATCGTAACCCTTGTTTACGACCCCTAGGTTACTTTCTGTTTTCCGGGCATTATCTCCTGCGTGGCCGAAATGGTATCAAAATGTCTTGGCACTACGTCATATGTCAATAATCAACTTTTTTGTAAACAAAGAGGTATCATATAGTCCAAAATATCAATTATGGAGCACCCCAGTAGAGCAAGACAGCCAAAAATCTGGTTTGACGATCGAGAGACCTATAATCTAGCTCCAAAGCCCAAAAAAGAAAAAATGCACATCGAAGTGCTCAAGCCTGCGCCAGTTATCCAACTACCCCCATCAGCACTTCAAGCATTACTAGATCAACCAATACCTGAGTTTTCTCCACCATTCCGTAATGAAAGCACTCCATTCAAAGTTCTCTATAAAGCCTAGGATCCGCTCTCTCTATTTATCCAATTTTTAGGTCAGGAATCGATCTGGTTAATGGTTGACGTTACAAATAAACGAGCCGCCGCATTTTATGCCTCCGGCAAAGTCTACTCGCCTAAATGGCATGTAACAACGCCACAGGAGTTTACACGCTAGCTAGCAGTACTTCTCTATATGTTAACCTCATGGTAATGCCGTAGAAAAGTCTACTAGAGAAGCACGCATCTTTACGGTCATAAATTAGGTCGATTTATGAGCCGGACTCGCTGGGATCAAATTCATCGATTTTGGACCATCAATGATCAACCACGCCAACCAGGAGACCCATGGTGGTACAGAATTGAACCTCTTTTATCGGGCGTACGCCGCCATTGTGAGGAGGCTTTTATTCCGTCTTCCTGGGTCTCTATCGATGAGTCAATAATCGCATTTCACGGGCGTACTAATCATACTATGAAAATACCAAATAAACCTATAAAAGAGGGCTATAAGGTCTGGGTGCTAGGCCTTACAGGAGGCGCTACTTATACGTGGTTAATACACTCAAATATCGACAAAACCGAGTCCTGCTTTGTGGGTCGACGGTGCAAAGGCCCTCCTAAAATTAGTGCTATTATCGTGCCGCCAACCCAACAAGTGCCTATTATATTGGTCGAGAAACTCCGCGTCCTTCATCCGCTAACAAATTACGTAGTATATCTAGACAATTTGTTTTCCTTAATGTACCTGTGGCGCTTGCGGTAATGGCCCTAGGTGTTGGTATAACTGGTACTACACGTAAACCGCCGCCGGAGTGCCCGCCTTACTCACTAAGGTTAAGGGATTTCAAATAGGCTATTCGGTACGGCGGTTTACTCTCAATTAAGGTCGATGGCGTCCTCTACTTCGCCTGGTAGGATAACAATATCGTACTACGCATTATAACTTCTCATAGCGTCCACAGAGTACAGGAGGATTATATTATTAAGAAGAGGTTCAATCCGAAGCCTACTAGTACTAACGCGGACATCGCAAGGCTAGTTTTTGGTCCTAAGGCATCAAAATTGCTTCCAATACCTGTTGTAATTAATGACTACAACTACGGCATGAACGCAGTTGATACCGCCAACTAAATACGCCTTGATATCTTAATTATAAGGCCTCAAGAGAGGCGCGTTTGGCGCCCCCTAGCCTTTTAGTTAATCGATGTATGTCTTGCTCATTCATTCATTATTTAGCGGCAATTACAGTTAGAGAGCTCTATTAGGAGTAAGGCTCTCATCGACCAAATACCCGCCGTAGAACTTGACCTTCCTTTGCCGCCGCCACCGGCTATTTTGGCACCGATTCACGGCCTCACAGGGACAAAAAAACGTGGCCGATGCGCTTGGGGAGTAAAGAGACGTCAGGAGTGTCCTCATACACGAGAACGGTGCGAGAAAGAGCCTCATCAAACTACTACGCGCTCTAGAGTGCCACTTGGCGAGGTCATTAACGGCGTACGCCCGCGGAGTCGCGCTAGATTAGTCAGTTCTTACTACAAGACCTGTGAAGTTTACTTGTGTAGAGATAAGAAGTGCTGTCAGCAGTGGCATGCAAATTTACGTAGTAATTAGCTGGACAAAATCATAGAATGGCTGCTGAATGGCAAGAGGGAGGCATTTGGGGAGTGCCAAGACATTTTGATACTATTTCGGCCACGCAGGAGATACGGAACTCTTCGAACCCTATATAAGCCTTTTGTTGGCGACCCCTAGGTTGTGTTCTGTTATCCCAGGTTCGTATAGGGCTCCAGGAATCTCCTCGTAGTATATAGTAGCGTCTCGGCACTCTTATTGCTGTATCGTACTTCAGACTTTTGTGGTAGGACGAGGCCACTCACTACTTACTAGTTCCAACGGCGCCAAGAGTGCCAAAGGCGCATACACACTGTTATTTTCGTAACTGTGAGAATTTTGTCGTAGGTGCTGGATTTCGTGTTCTGTGCGATGAATTGACGTTTTCTCTCACGCGAGGAGAGATATTTAAGTCTCTATACAAAGTATAGAGACTTCAGGATAGAGACTTAAAGGGGGACCTCGGTTTCCTCTCCGAAGAGAGTACTTACGCTCTGGGGCATAGTGGAACTGACTCGCTAAAGATCGTGTGCCCGGAGTTTGAACTGAACTGATGGGGCAAACCAGAAAGACGACGCAGCCAAGCCGCTACCCCACGAGACTCTCGTCCGATCCCCATGGGTATTTCGTAGGGTGGCCGATGCAGGGCGAAGGGTACCAGGTTCCGGATCTGCGCTTTGCCAAGTTAGGTCAACTACGCAATAAAAAAGAGTTGTTCTTCAAAGCGGCAATAATACCGGATATGACGGAAGAGCCTCATCTGCGTAGGGAGGACTTCCCGCCAAACTCGGCTTGGTGGACCGCAGCCCAGGCCACATGACGGTAGAAACCACTCGACCTGAACTCCGCTCGATGGCAAGTCGCATTCAATCTCTCCGCAGCAAACTGTAAAGACTTGAAGATAGCCAGGATCCTCTAGCTAGGATTTTAGATAAGTGTTGCAACCGCGATCGTCATCTTAGCAAACCTCCCCAAGGTGACAGAAGCGCAGGATTGGTGACAGTCTTGCCGCCATCATGACCGATGACACGGCTCCGCCTCTGCAGCAACCAGGTGCGAATATACCACCTATCAAAATATATCCAGATAAATTTGCGGACCATGTGGTGCTGGTTACTGGTGCAGCACAAGGTATTGGTCGGGCGACCGCTTCACTATTTGCCAACCAGGGTGCCCTGGTGGTACTCATCGATATCGAGGCTGAGAAACTTGCGGCTTTATCCGCAGAGCTGACTGCCAAAGGTGGCAGCGTCACCGAAAAGGTCTGTGATTTGACACAGGAAGTCTCAGTTGACACCATGATCAAAGAAGTGGTTGCAGTGCATGGCAAAATCGACGTGCTCGTACATCTTGCCGGGATATATCCTTTCATCCCTATTTTGGACATCAAGACAGCAGAATACTCTCGCATCATGAGCGTAAACATGGACAGCTGCTTTTACCTGACACGGGCGGTCCTGCCGTTCATGCAAAAGGCAGGCTATGGCCGAATCATCAACACCTCGACAGCCGGCATTGTCGCGCCATCACGGGGTATGTCGGCGTATATTGCAGCCAAGGGTGCTGTCGCTATGTTTACACGAGCAATTGCCACCGAGACAGGACCCGGAGTCACAGTGAATGCAGTGTCCCCAGCAATGATCTTTACTGAAACAACCTGGTCAAATCCTGGCGCCCGGGGCGTTGCAGATGCCATTCTCGCACGTCAGCAGATAAAAAGAGTTGGTCTGCCCTCAGACGTCGCACACATGATCTGTTTTATTGCCAGCCCTGAGAGCGAGTGGATCACAGGCCATCAGTTTGACATCTCAGGTGGGGCGGTTTTTACATGAAGGTTGAATAGAATTAGATCCCTACATATCAATTACTAAGTTCTGGGGAGGGTGGTAGAACCTGGCAATTAGTAAACGCACGTTTACTTGAGATAGGAACACTAGATATATTCGGATCCTATAATGCCCGAGGCTTAGAATTGCGCCCACAAAGCCTGACTTAAGTAGCCTGTGTTGGTGTATGGGCCCGAGACTTTTTCATTGGGGATACAGACCAGAATCAAATGGTATGGCCGTGAGAAAAGCCATATCAGTCGAGTTCGGCGTCCAACTGTTGAAATATGCGTCTAGCGAATTGGCCGACTGAGTAGACTGGAAACCTTCGAATGGCCATGAATTCTGCGCTTCGGCAGGAAACGACGCATGCGTCAAATTGAAAACGTCTGCAGTATCCGTCATTCTCGCGTTGGCTTGACGAACCTCGCCGAGAATCGATGTAGCAGGCTCGGAGTCAGGTGTTTGTCTGGGAACTGGAGGAAAAGATGAGCATCAGAATCTGGTATACGAGAGAAGAAAATGGCATACAATATTGCCCATTTTTGGTTCGCTGGTCGAAGATCTCCAACAGTCTGCAGCAGCGTCGGGCTGATCGACTGCAATGCTGATACGCGCGCAGCCCGTTCAAGCACTCGACCCAACATGCTTGGAGAGCAGTTTCTCCAATCTTCTCCCGCAAGGGCGTGCAACACCGGCTAGCTAATATCACCGTGGCACATGTATATAAATCTGTGTTGACTCAGTATGATAGACCTTCCGCTGAAGAAATGCGGCTCACAGAAGATGACATGCCACCACTCCGGTAGCCGCGTGTATTCTCTTCCGAGATTTTCGGTGATCATCTTGCTCAGCTCTTGTGAGGCGGAAATGCACAAGACAGATGACTGCATCAAGAGCATTTCGTGCAACGTCGATTTCTCTTCAATTGCACTTTCTTCCTGCGACTGTTTGCGGAAGTCTGCCAGAGCTCTGAGGAGCAAGGGTCGGAAGAGCAGGATACGAATATGCAAATAGCTAGGTGCTCATGAGTTTTGGAAACTGACAAGTGCTTGTTGAATCAATGGAAGGATAAGCAGACTATACATACCGAGCGTGCAGCACTGCTGCTTGTTGTCGAGTTATGTCGGTGCTCAGCGAACTCGATCGGCCTCCATCATTCATATCCACGTTATTTCCTCCCAGAGTTACCTTGAGGTGCACAGGTAATTGAGATTTCCATCGCAACAGGGCCGTGTCGAATCGAAGAAGAGATTGAAAATCTCCCTCATTTACTCTCCGGATGAAAACTGGTGCACGAAACGTGTTCGGGTTGGAGCCTTTCGAATTGGAAGGGGGCATGGCTGTAGTCTCGTTAACAATCGGTGGCTTCTCGTAAAACTCGGCCAGTATGGCCCCGAGAACATCGTGGAGTGTTGAGTGGTGGTGGAAGAATTCAGAGTAGCTCAAGCTCTCACTCTCCACCGCTGGAACGGACGGCTCAGAGACGGCCGAGTTAAGATCGTCACCAACCCATGCCCGCGAAGTCATTATAGAAGGTCGACCATATATCATAGAAAGAGATCTGATATGGATGAACCCATTTCTTGTCAACTTTGAATTCTTTTGGAGATCAACAAAGGGGATTTCTGTGACTCCCTTTCGGATTCATTAAAACTTACCTGTCAAGAAGAATGCATCCACTCCATACTCGTTTTCGTAGATCGAGCTCTTTTTGACTCAATGAACCCTTGAACATCCCCGAATTTATTTGGTGTAGTCCGTTGACCTGTGCCACGCTAGTGGCGACATTTGCGACCGTCCAACAACCGCCGGAGAGCTCTGTGCTTTGCATATATACTCCGAAGAGTAGTAACGCCTGAATTAGTGAGACGCTTCCTTCATTGAAAATGTTAAAGTCCTGCTCAATGAGGGTTTTGGCTCGTTGCCAGAAGACATCACTTAATCGTGACTCGCCAGGGTTTAGGGCAGGATCGAATTGGCAACCCAGAGCAAATGCTATATTGAGAGTGCAGTAGAAAGTTTTCTTGTTGGTAAGCTCCGCCGCGGTCGATCGTTCCTCTTGGGATTGCCGTGATACCGAAGCTACTGGCTGAAAAACCCCATCGGATGCCTTAGAAGAGAGCCATATCTTCTCATATTTTTGTTCAAAGTCAAGTCGGTCCAGATATGGATAGAGACTATGAACCCAAGTCCAAAAGACATCCAAAAGGGCATCTGCATGCTCTCTGCTGGGCAAAGCATAGAGTTCAAAGTCTGCATGACGCCTGCTTGTTGCATGAGAAAGTCTCTCCCGCAACACTTCTTGATACCTTCCAGGGGACTCACGTCCCAAGTGGGCTGGACTAAGCGGCTCCGTCTCGTAATGGCAGGCTGGATCGTCCGCGTTATCAAGCACGCTCCGTACTTGACTCATGAACGTTACCGCACTGGAATCTCCAAAGTATCCAAAACGAGGTGCAACAACGCCAATCTCGTCATTCGGCGGTAATTCCTTATCACGATTTAGATACCTTTGACGCTGCTCGAACGGGGCAGACGCGCTGCTAAGACGAAGGGGTTGAGAGTGGGAAGGGTTTGCCGAATCATGCTCTTGTGATTCATCCCTGACAAATGAACTCATTGTACAAGGCTCCGATCTCTTACTTGGCTGAACGGTAGCTACAGGTGCTGCCGAGGATGAGATGCGATTGAGATTGTCTTCACGCTCAGCCCGGAGTTCGTTGGCCCCTCCCATTGATGCCGCATTATGGGTTATTCTATCTGTGTGCGGATGAGCCAACGCATCCTCGCGGGTTTCGAGCTCGATGTTGTTTGAGCTTGCTTCTTGAGGGCTCAGGTGAGAAGAGTTAAAGACTTCACCCGAGAAATCTAGCCTTGAATGTTTGCGCCCTTCATCAGCTCGCTCTAGATCGGTAATTCGCTGTTGCAGTCGCTCTATCAGCCTGTAGGATCAGTGGCCAGGCCTAACATCCTGCGAATCCTCTACTCACTTTGACTGTTTTGACTTTGCTTCTTCTGGATCGTCGTACACACAAGCGCGCGATGCCCTCGAGTTAGCACAGGAACTGCAAGCCGGCCTCGCGGCATCACATCTGCGTTTGGCGATGCGACAATTTCGGCATGCCTGACTTGCGCGCTTTCTCTTTACGGTAGTGGCGGAATTAGCTGATAGTGATGGTGGTTGTTCCATTATTGCGGGCAAAGTTCATACAGAGGATCCGCTAAGATACAGGTGTGCGCCCGTGGCGGGTTCCTCAGCCCGTTTTATAGGCACAGAACCCCGCCCGATGACAAGTCTGAGTTGGGCTCGGGATATAGATAGTGGGGAAGAGGACGGGTGCACATAATGCTGAAGGCGCCAACTGCCACCGTGAAAATACGAGCAGGGGCCGCTTTTGTAGCACCCGCGTCTCTCTACACATAGCGGGCCTTGGCAAGCATGGCCCCAGGATTGATAATCCACAATCCTCACCTCGTCACACAGCAACTCCGTCAAGCAGCCTTGTCAATGTCTCGAGCCTGCTTGTGGTAGAGGCTTTAGTGCATCATGCAACACACTACGAACAAAGCATCATGAGCACTGAGATACGAAAGGGGAGAAAGAACCACGCTGACCGCGCCGATCACAAACATTATGTCACCGAACGAGAGAAGAGACAAGCAGAGTGCGTGTCGGAGCTAATCCGATCTTACTGTTATCATTAATGGCCTTCGACCCCGGGCAGAGTTTGCACTAACAAGCCAATTCCTCCATTCCGGCGATGAGCCCCACAGAGCAGATCTGTTGGATATCCGAACAAGGCTACTTAGGCGAGTCAACTGAGAATGAACGAGATCTCTACGACCCTGTCTCTTGTCCTGCGATGGTCACTCTTTTAGCTTATATAGATTCTTACACTGGATATGTTGGATAACTTTAGGTCCACAATGTTATACTTCTCTTAACGCGGTCGCCGCTTCATTGCTGCCCGCTGGTCCCTTTCCCGTAGTCCCACCACGTCCACCACACTCTTCGCTTGCCCAATCTTGCCTGCTTCAAGTCGATAGAAGAGGTGCTCAACGAATGTGATGGTGTTCCCAAGATCCGGGCAATAACTCACTACAGTCCGGGTCGCCACATTCGCGAAGCCCTGCTCTCCTTGCCTTCTCGGATCCTTTTCCACAATGATCTGGTCAACGTCGAAGTACAAACCTAGGATATAGACTTGCACATCCCGTAACTGCGAACACAGTCATCGCCTGATAGAGCCATAGTCGCATAGAGTCGTTGTGTACAACGCTGTCTTGGATGTGAAAATCCAAGCTGCTGGGCGTCGATTCTTGATTAGTGCATCAATATGCATTTGATAGTGGGATTTTATATCCATGTCTGCAGTCAAGCTCTTGTATCCACTGGAACCAGCGAGAAGAACCGTATGACTCTACGTAGTCTCGGAGATAGCTGACATTAGGTGTCTCTCGAAGTTAAATGGAAGATCAAAGGTTGGTCTGATTTAGATATAATCCTGTTAGACTTGACACTTTTATTTCAGTGCGCACCGGATTGCCAATGCTATACGTGCGAAAAAGTAGACCACAATTTTCTGACTAGAAAACGGCGCATACGTCGTCAAAAGGATAAATGAATAAACAGGGACGCCGCCTACAGGGTATTCTAGGCCAGAGACGCTCTCGGAAACACCTCCGAAATTCAAACATCCCCACGTCCGATAGACGAAATTATCAGAGGGGTTTCATCGGGTCTGTTAACCGACCTCCGCATGGTTCCGCGGCATCACTGTCCCGTGCTGTTTTTCCAATAACAGTAGTTTTAGAATTGTCTCTCCCAAACACCCTCCTTGGTGCGGACTATTCCCGTATTTACTGCCGACTGCCTCGATGACTCGCAAAAGAAAAGCCTGCTTGTCGGATGCGGTTCGATTCTAGGAGGTAAAGTAGGCTGCTTTAACCTGAGCTTCAACCGAGGCTCACCGAGCACCCGCTCAGTGGCATCCTGAGCAGCACTATAACCCACAAGGAGGGTCGAGGGGCCCAGAAAGCGCCCAAGGGCTTCACGAACAACGAGAGCGGGCAAGAGTCAGTGTATAGTTTCCGGAATTTCGCTGTTAGGGAACGAGCGTTTTACCTCGGCTTGAATTGGGGAGACAGGGCGAGCCTACACGGCAGTACGTCTCCGCTTTTACTGCAGGAGAGGCGATGGAAAAATATGGGGTTGAAGATGATCCATGGGGCTGTTAAGTTTCACCTTCTTATCTTCTTCCTCGCAGTGCTTGCATGCATAATCTCGACCAGCATTCTGATTTCTGACCGCGTTAGACCAGCCTGCTCACGATGCCAGGAAGATGGCCAGCCATCATGCAAGCATGTAGAATGGAAGACGTCGGAAACTTGGGGGCTCAGAAATATATGATTCGAAGGCTGAAGGTGAGGAGTGGTTCAGGGAGCGTTATGCCGGACAACTATTAGTAAACCGGGCCGTATAGCAATGATAGCTTGATATGGTATTGAGCCACTATCTATTATCTTACACATTCGACTACACCTCTTCTAAGACCTTCGATGTAGCATAGTTTGCTCACCTGCGAACACAGGGTCTTGGAATTATCCGGTTACGCGTCTTCAGCAGACGATAGTCATAACAGAGCACCTCGCCATTATGGACAGCAATCCATACAGACTTGTTCAGAATAATAAAGCTGATCGCGTCGCCCAGAACAGCGTAGGAGGATATGGAGAGAAGGGCTCAGTCAGGCCCTGGGGAACTCTCAGGTTCGCTCATGTAGCTCAGGAAGTGGCAGGTGAGCCGAGGGGGAGCAAAGAGGAGAGCGACCAAGTACCGTGGAAGGATAGGCTCTTCGTTTGCGACTAACTGCGTCCTCGTACATAAATACTCAACTCACTGAGTAGAACTCTACGCAGTCAGGATAGTAGAACATTTCTTCATTATATTTGAATTATAAAAGTGCAGACAAGCTTAGTTGGGTTCGACTCATCCACTATCTGCATAGTACACTCTACGGGTTCACTTTACATCATCCCATGCTCCTCACATGAGGGTGGGAGGAAAACGCTCTCTTCTGCCGTCTCAGCTTTGGATTACGACAAGGTTCAGGACTAGCGCCTGAGCTGATAATTACTGTTTGAGGGAGGATCATTCACGGTTCCTCATCCTGGGATGCAGCCTATATCCAAGTTGTTTCTAGGCTCATTGTCCGAATCTTCTTTCTAAGCATCACGGCTCGCAAAGCTAGGTTGAAATCCGATCAGGTCCCTATCCTATCACGACACTCACTCGGCATCTCTATCACGTATAGACAAGAGGCCCTTTCTCGAAACACTGCCCGTTACAAGAGGACCTTCGCACATCACAAGCCACCGGTATGCAACCCACCAACACATCACCATCACCACGGCAAAACCCAGGTAAACGTACGGTGCTCATAACAGGCTGCTCGACACACGGCCTGGGCTATGCGCTCGCGCTCGCATTCCACGCAACAGGCGAGTTCCGGGTCTTCGCGACCGCGCGAGACACGTCGCGCATGGCTGGACTCAAGGAGAGGAGCGGCGGCGAGATCGAGACGCTGCAGCTCGACGTGCTAGACCAGCCGAGTATCGAGCGGTGTGTCGCTGAGGTCCAGGCGTTGATTGAGCAGGGTGAGAGTGGTGGCGTCAACAGAAAGGGCTTGGCGTGCTTGGTTAATAATGCTGGTGGTGGTCAGTGATTTTCTGCGTTCTTCTCCCTCCCGCTATCATACTCGGCCTAATCCTTTCCCACCTTCAACCATCTAGGTTACAACATGCCTGTCTCAGACATCTCCATACCCGAGGCGAAAGCCTTGTTCGACCTCAACGTGTGGTCCTACATCAGCGTCACACAAGCATTCCTCCCGTTACTCATATCTGCCGCCGGGGCTGCTGGTCCCGCCGTCACCAAAACCAACAGCCTGATCCTGAACAACACCTCCGTCAGCAGTGTGGAACCCACACCGCACAACTCAGTCTACCACGCGTCGAAAGCTGCCGCCGCGATGTTCAGCACGCACATGCGCATCGAGCTGCAGCCGTTCCACATCCGCGTCGTCGACCTGAAGACCGGATGCGTGCACTCGCACTTCCATGCGAACCACCAGGGTGGGATTGCGAGTTTGCCCTCCGGAAACGCCGACGGAACCGGGACCGGAACCAGTCTCTACATGCCCGTGAGGGAGGAGACGGAAAACGCGATGCGCAATGCGTTTCCGCACCGCGAGGATCCGGACGTTTGGGCTGAGAGCGTGGTTCGGGATGTCACGCGGAGTTGGAACGAGCCGCCACTGGAGATCTGGAGGGGCACCGGCTCGTGGAGGACGTGGTTTGCCAATACGTTTTTCCCCGTGGGCTGGTGGGATGAGAGTTGGCGGAGGGCCGTGGGTTTGGATTTACTGAGCGCGAGGTTGGTGGGAATGGGGAAGGGGGGAAGGGGGTAGAGTTGATGTGGATCAAAGACGACTGATTTAGAATTCTCTGTCTGGCGAGGACTGATAATGTGGTCGTGATCAGCTCAAGAGCAGAGAGGACTAAACAAGTCAGCTTGCAAAGCTGAAAACTTCTTTTGGGTGGGTTCTCTCCCTGCCCAGGGAGGTCTCACGGGAATCAAAACCTGAGAGTCCCGAGATGGTCCTCACTCAGCATTAAACCCAAATCCTAAAATGTTGCATTTGCCTTCGGTGTTGAGATTCCAGCTAAAATCGAAAACTCTCCACTGCAGGACTTAGTCTGTGTAATGTTGATAAGACGGTCATTCGTTTGGTGGTAGTACGACTCTGTCCGATGAACACAGTACTAATTCGTATTAACACCGCGCTCTTCCATTAATTCCGATCTCTCCCTTCGGCCTCTCGTACCACGGGGCGTGTTGTTTGCAAGCATGCAATATTGATTTTTTGCGCTTTTCCGCTTTCCTTTCCTTTTCCGTTTCGCCTCTCCATTACACGACACAAGGAGGCGGAACCAAGTGCTGGACCTCGATGAAGTTTCCGCCGGGATCCTGAATGCCCAACAGCTGGGTAAAGCCAGCCTGTTCCGGACCCTGTTCCGGACCCTGCACCAGAAAATCACCCTCCGTCTGGTTCGCGGTGGCAGACGTGCCGATGCCAAAAGCATTTTCGAGTGAAGCGATCCCTGAGGGTGCGCAAGTACCCGTAAGTGCCTTCCCGTGCATCAACGTTAGATGAATATCAATAGTAAGCACTGAGGTCCACATTCAGCTGAGCCGGCTGGCGAAATACAGCCCTCAACCATCTTGAAGTCCCAGGTATAGGTAGTTGAGTGGTTGGCCCTGAGCTATGCCCAGGAGAGCTATCTGCGCTGCTCGTTTCGGCTTGTGCGCGAATGACGCTCCGTGTAGTGGCTGCCATGCCCAGCGACCGAGAATGGATGGGCCTTGAATGGTTGATATGGATGAGTATTATTCCGTGTATCCTCTCAAGATGGCTTCAGAGTGGAAATAGAACCGAAAAAGCGTAGGTATGTCGCGGAATACGGGATGGCAGCCTCGTTATGGCTTGGCGGTTCTAAAGGCTTCCGCCCCTGAGACCGTTACAGATAAACCTTGATTTTCATTTTGTATCTTTTTACTTCTTAAATTCTTCATCCACACTAGCTTGACACTATGTATTACTTTTGATGCTCTGCGGTTACGCTGAGGCATCTGCTTGTGCAGCCACGGCTGGGCTTTGTTATGATGAGAAGAACGGATCACAAGACACTCCACGTGGTGAAGAGGGTTAAGCAAGACGGATAAAACTTTTTCCTTTTTGAACAGCTCTTGCCTAGATATCGCTAACTCGTGCAGTAGATCTACAGTTCCAGATGTGGCCTACGGAGTATCTGTTGCTGAAAGGAGAAAACCTTGTGGGCGTCGGTGAAATGGAGACGAGGCTGAGCAAGTCTTGGTAACCTTGAGGTACGAGTACCCCGGACTGCACGCCTTAGCAAGCAAGGCACCCAAAGGCTCTGCGGTCATTCTTTCTCTCTTAGACGAGTCGCCCAGGAGTTCGGCATTTGCTCCAATGCAGTGCTACACGAGTGTCACACTAGCCGCGCTCAATACGACATTAAGCATGCAGAAGCTGAAAGAGCACAGGAAATCGGGACCCTGAGATCCACAAAGTTGTCCCGAGAGGAAATATCATTGACATGTCTTCCGCATTATTTGATCACAAGGGGATCAAGATGAATAAAGTGACGGCGTCCCTCCTAAGTATACAGGCATTTCTCCTCCAATAGCCACCATTCCCATTCCGGGCGTAACAAATCACAACACTCTATTTTGTATCGACAGCCTTCGTCGTGGCTCATGAGAACGCCTGCGCCATGGATGAATGCGCTCAACAAGAAGAAGCTATCCAGACTGAAAATCACTGACCCTCTATTTTGCTCATGAAATTCTTCCTCATATTAGCATTAACCACGCCACCAACTCCAAAAGCAGGCTAGGAGGAAGTAAGTAAATGTTAGATGGTAGAGGTTGGATCGCTGCGGTTTAGACTTACTATTATCCTTCCCATTCTGGCGAAGGCACTAACGCCCCAATCTCTAAGAACTCTAGAGGCTCGCTCAGTAATTCCTAAACGCCCCTGTCTGTTGTACAGATCTAACCCGTGAAGGTGAATTGGTGTAGAAATTAATTGGACAGCTGCGGGAGCAAGAAATTGTGCAGTGTTTGCCCTCCCTGACTCGGTACTGAGAATCTTAGAGAAATTGGTTTTGATACTCGTTGGCAGGTTGCCAAGCTGTGGTGCGATCAACGGAGGCAAGTTGAAGGAAGCAAAGATGGTCAGAGAATCTCGAACGGCAAACAAGGCATATGAAAGTCTTGGGATTGCCGCAGCAGGAGACGAGGAAGAACCGCCAAACAGTTTTGCAAATTGAGAGTCTTTATATACACATATACTCATATTGACTGAAGAGGTTGCCAGGAATTTTGTAGATCCGGAGGTAACGGAGGAGGCGGGCTTGGATGAAACGGTGGATGCGATTGTGTCGACCGTATTTGCGGTCGCGTATGTAGAGAAGTAAAGGGCAAATATCAGGAGGAATGGTTTAGAAACCAGGTAGGCATGTGGTCGGGTCAGGGCTGGGCGTAATGCTCGACGCAGGCATGACGAAAAGGTAGACCCGGTGGCCGCTTTCTCAACTATGGAGCTGATTGGGAAGTCAGTTGTGGAGGTCACACACAGGCTGCTTGAGACACTTACCGGTCGATCACCGAGATAATGGGGCCTATCAACACAGAAGCAGTTGCAGCAGAAGTCAGATCCGCAGCGAACCTGAGGCCTAGGTTGGCAGTATCCCACTGGACAACCTTTCCTGGCTCTAGTCGACCATTCTTAACTGAAAGAACGGGGATTTGAGAGCCGGACACTTGAATTGTAGCCGGAGCAGTAGCAACGCTCTTAGAGGAATTAGCATCTTGAGTCATGGTGAGGGAGGGCATGACGGCGAAAGATAAGGGCACGAGAGCAGTACATCGAAGTGTCTGGGTCTCGACGTGGCGGGCTATATAATGAGTGACGTGATGGAGTAGTGAGTCAAGGGATGCTCAGTAGGACTACCGATTATCATTATACTCGTGGAGTCGCCAACAACGTGGACTTCTGGAGTATCAGGAAAGTCGCGACCTGGGGAAATCGCGGACTTTTGGGGAGAATGAAGCAAAAAGAATTGGAGACTTGGAATTAATTTAAGGTTCGGGGCATCAAACGCCGAACCGGTGATAGCCGGAGGAAGGAGCCATCCACCTTCGGGAGAGATGCACAGAATTAAGCTCAGGGCAGGTGCCACTGGGAGCTTGTCGTCGGGCGTGTTCGCCTATGCCCCCTTCCCTAAATCTCACTCCCCAGGAACATGCCCCGAACTCATCCGTGCCTGCGATACGACAGGATACAAAGAGATATATATCCATATAGATAATTCCCTAATTTAATAATTTAGATCGGTGATGACTTTGTGGTTGTTGAGAAGCGTCGAATCGTCAAGACATTATTAGCTTACATCTCCATATATACAACGCATCTGGCCTTCTGAAATCTAAGCAAGAAGTTTCGAGTTTTGTCTCTTTCCCCATCTATTTGATTTACAGATCCTTCTTTGCTTTGGCCGCGAGTTTGATCTCTTCCTGCAGGTCGTGATCTCTCCCCGTCGAATGCCTTTGGCCAACTGCATTCTCACCACCAATGGCTCGGAATGCCTGGTAGAAGGTCCATTCGACTGCCTCCTCTACCGGCTTATCAAACATATATGGTAGAGCAGGGACAGCTGCTAATCCAAGCTGTAATATTGTCAGAATGTCAAGAACCAGATAGCTCCAGTATATTTCACTTACTCCTATGGGACCCCAAGTCCTGATCGTCGTGTTGGCTGCAGTCTTCAGTGCCTTGCCAGAGTATTTGACAATACTGTGGATCGTAAAGGCCGGTAGACCCATGGACGCAACACTCTGAAACACTGCTCTCTGCGCCATGACGCTTCGATAGTCCTCGATTGCAGGTACATGTATCGGTGCAGATTGTGGCTCTGCTTTTGAAGCTGGCATGGGGGCGTTGACCGCAGAAGCATCCTTATACTCGTCGCCTTCAGGGTGTAACAGTCTCTGATTTCTCTTATATGCCTTCCATCCTTCATGACTGACATCGCCCAGGATGTATGCCCAAGACACGCCGTATGCGCCCCTAACTAGCCATGGATGTGCGATGGGTCTGAATGATTCGCCAATATCTGAGGTGTAGGCGACGTAACGATGTGCGCTCAGCATGATGGTACGCAATCGATTGGCGTATGCTGCATAGCGAGCAGTGGTCTCAGTCGTATCAGGCCCAAAGCCTTCATAAAGAGTATCCACCCAGTCATCTTCACGGTCCACTAGCTTTTGTAGGTCCTTTGGGAGTTGTCCTCGAGGGAAGGCAGAATTACCCGGTTTGCTAGTATCCGAATCTCCATTTTTGCCAGCCATTGTTGGTGGAAAGGACGGAAGAGGAGTAGTCAAAGAATAGAGCAGCACAGGTTCTAAGCCGGCCCAGAAATCAGGTGGCAGCCTGCTCTCATTTGTATTCGCGGTTGTGGCAACTGGCAGAGGGATGCATGTGCTCTTGGAAAACTGGGGGTCAATCCCGGGGATCAACGGGCAAGGAATGACGAAGAGCTCGGGATTCAAGATGGGGGCCTTGGAAATCGTGGCTGTGATAGTGTGGCACTTCCTGTATTATCATGGGCTCGGAGGAGGCTGGAAGTGGATGCACTTGCAGCTGTTATGATCTTCCGCAGCTCGCTGCTCAAGACGTAGCTATAATTCACCGTAGCTTCTCCCTAGCCAAAAGAGTTATTATGTCGTCAGGCAAAATATCTGCCCATATAAAATCGAACGTCCTTGCGTGCGGATTCTTGTCTGACAACTCCATTTATTTAGCTAGCTGAGCTTTGAAGCTGTTCAACTCGTGTGGCCGCAGTTTTGACTCCAGGTGACCGAACAACCATCCTCTCTTAATACCACTCATTTCGACTTCAAAACACCCCTTCAAACCGTCAAGATGGTTGCAATGTACACAATCGCCGGCCGACAGGTTGGCTCACACTATGTAGGTCCAACCCGAGCCACCACCCCTTTGCCAGAGGATAAACACATTGGAAACTTCATGTCTAACACACTGCAGCTGGCCATGGCTACCCTAGCATCTGCATTCGGTATCCCATACCTTCTAACGCGGGGTGGTGCTCCGAAGCAAGCGGCGACCCCTCCCATCAATGCTGGAAGCAAAGATGAGGCCAAGTTCATCGAGTAAGCAATTTCCCACGAGTTCAACAACAGACACTCGAATTTTGACCTTTTTTCGCCTTGCAGAGAGTTTCTACAGTCAGTTGAGCAAGAAGACAAGAAGAAATAGATTTCTGGGAAGAAAGCGTTTAGAAAAGGTTCGGAACAGAATCGCTTTCCTCTGATCACGCCATGCTCAGAGTCAAGAAAACAAACTACCACTCGCATTACGCATTGTACATAAGTTAGGTGGATCACAAATTCAACTGAGCTACGCCCTGGACACATCCCATTTTGCGAACAGGCTGTCCCCTGAGCATGTCTCCTTCCGATCCTCATGGCTTCAGTTCAAACACTTCTCCGTCTTCCGTGGGTCGGCCCATTTTGACCCTCGCGGAACATGCTTGGAGTTCCATAATAATAGAGAACAATGTCTGGCTGGTACTCTTTTCCCCTACGGCTCTATTTATTGCCGTGGGGAAATTCTGCTCATCTTTCAGAGCTTCGCTGATGTCATGAAATGACGGGTTTCCCATCTCCTTGATCAACTCTTGAATTCGATCCAACCGGGTGGGTGAATCATTTAAAAAGATTGTCCCTTCCACCTGGTGTTTCTCCACCAGATGGTTTGAGTGAGTGCAAATCCCATCTGCATTTTGCGGCATCTCGACGATATCCAGGGCCGTGCATTCGAATCCATTCGCCCCAGTGGAAGCATCTGCAATTGTGATGTGACAGGCTGAAGCAACCCCCAGCTTCCGGAGACTATTCTCCGCCTCCGCTCTAGAAGAACTGTTTAGCACCGTTCGAAGTGCAAGATGGCATGGGATCTTGTTGTATGTGACCCCTGGAGCTTGAATGGCGTTAAGAGTGACACCGACGCCAGCCGAATTCAACCCGATTTTCCCAATGAGGCCGGCTTCGGTCATCATGTGAATAGTCGGCTTGGTTCCCTGTTCGATATGCAAGCTTATGATATTGGGAGTTTGCTCGAAATTCCAGTCCCAGTTTTGGGCCAGAAAGCTCGAATCTGACGTCTTCCAAGACAGAGCGGTGCATCCATCGCTCAGCATACCGTATGCAATTTCAGTGCGCACGTTCAGGGCGACGATAGATTCCAGGTCATTTTCAGACCCATCGGCTACGCCTTTCATCTCCTCTATATATTCTGGAAAAGAAGACTCCAAGAAGGGGAGAAATCCTCTTGCGACATCACGCACCTCCGGCCAAGAGAGCTTGGTGCGCGACTTGAAAAACGCCGAGTAGAAGTCTATGCTGCCATTGACTTGATCTTTTGCTTCTTGACCATGTTGCTTACCAATCTACGCGTCGTTAGTAGACATCAATGATCTGATCTGACGGAGGAGGAATGTACTTCATATGGTGTTCCTGAACAGCGAATATGCTTCATGATGGTTGATATAGTCGATTGACTACGCTCGAGCTTGGATGGCTGATTAAATGCTCTATCTATGTCCTCACGCTCAGAGAAAATATGAAGAACCCAACTTATAAACCACGGACCAGAATGCGTAACTGTTATTCTTATTCCTGCTTGCGGACTTGAGCGCCGTTGCTTAATTGCTGCTGATCTCTATTTGGTCTATTATTTCTCGAATCTCTCTTCTCTGCAACCGAGGGACTTGCTTCTCCAATTCCGTAAAATTCTTTTCTCCACCTCGTCTTTCCCTCTGCACGCGCCTTTTGAGTACCTTACGCGTTTCTCCTGCCAGACACACTCGTTGTAAGTACAGTAATAGATTCCAGACTTATCCGTTCCCATTTGATGCGGGTACCGTTCCCTCTAAGCCTCCGCGTCGGCACGGACATCATTGCCACCAGCCGGATACTATGCCCAATCAATCCTGACCAGAAACGACTGTTTCGCCTAACCAAACGCTATCTCCATCCCAGTGAATTATGCATCCTAGACCAACGGTTTCCCTCATGGAAAACTCTAGACGCATCAAATGAGCCACAGAGACGTCAGCTGTCAGGCTGGCTCGCTGGTCGATGGGCCGCCAAAGAGGCCGCCAAAAAGACATGGGGAGCTTCTCTCCTGAGCTTTACAGATCTCAAAGTCGAGACCGAAATCGGAGGTGGTGTGCACATTGTCTGTGATGTCAGTCATGGTGATTTCGATCCCTCGCCCGGTAACGACAAAGTCACGGAGCAGATTGCGCAATTGAGTATCAGTCACGATGGCGATTATACCATTGCAACCGTTCTTGCAACACCTCTCCACGATGATATTATGACCGAGCTAGCCGCTAGAAAGGCTAAAGCCGAAGCTAAAGTCTCGGACATGAACGATCTAGCTTAGTCTCGCTCCAAAGCCCGCTCTATATGAAGGGCGCATCCACGCCAACCAATTCTGAGTACCATCAGACGCAAAGTTCCAGCCCAGAGCTTTCCACGACATGTCCCAGAAATTTACCGATAAAACTAACTACGAGCAAGATGGCCGGTGGGGAGCGGTCGATGCCTACACATCTAGCCATCTCTTCCCAGCGTCGCGTAACAAGTACCACGATGCTCTAGAGTTCGCTTATAAGCACTCGATCGAGAAGGGCCTACCTGATATCGCTTCATACCCTGCCCAGGGAAGGTATCTATCGCTCCAAGCCCAGATAGCCGGTGCCACCAACGTGCTGGAAGTCGGCACGCTCGGAGGCTACTCATCCATCTGGATCGCATCGGGTCTTCCCGCTGATGCGAGAATCACCACGGTTGAGGTCGACCCGAAACACAAACAGGTCGCAGAAGAGAACATCGCCAACGCAGGGTTTAGCGACCGGATCCATGTCCATCTCGGTGCCGGATTGGAAGTCTTACCGAAGCTGGTGGAGGAGGTAAAGGCCGGGAAGAGGCAGCCGTTCGATTTTGTCTTCATCGACGCAGACAAGGAGAACAACCTGGCGTATTTCGACGTCATCTTACCTGCAGTGCGGTCGAGGGCGCCGATTTTTGTGGACAACGTCGTTCGACGAGGAAAGCTGGCGGATGAAGAGCTTGCGAAGGATGATTCGCGCGTAGCGGGTGTAAGGAGGCTGGTCGAGGCAGTTGGTCGGAATGAGAAGGTCGAAGCTGTCGTCATTCAGACGGTTTCGGAGAAGAACTATGACGGATTCCTGCTGGCTGTTGTCAAATGAGCCAGACCTTGAGAATCTGACCTGGTCTAGCGAGCCTAGATCTCAAGACCTGGCAATCACAAACGACAGCTGGCCGTCAGGAGCAAAAAAGTCTTGCTCATCTCTTTCCGCGAAACTCTATGTAGCTAAATTCTACTCGACGATTCTCTTGTTCTTCCATTATTTCCCTGATAGAAGGAGATCGCGGACACAAGACGCTAACTATCCACTATTTCAACTGCTTAGGAGTGCGCCTTTTCTTTAGGCGGTGTAGTAGCCTAGGGTGGGAGACGTTATCAATTGCCTTCTGTACATCTAGCGCTAGGATAGAAGGATCAGGCCATATAGTTGGACAGCCTTAATCCTCTCTGCCAACTGAAATAGCGCTTAAGATCCGTTATGTGGTTAAGGAGAAGTAATGTGTGCATGCTAGGGGAAACTTAAGTGGGAGAAGTGTTGTTTGTATGTATGCTTAGGCAGCCCTCGATTTCTCACAGTTAGACCTTGCTAAACCTAGCTATAAAAGTTAGGAGTGCCCGACAACACATGCAACAAAGACCGAACCTGAATAGCCACTTGAACTGGCAGCACACAGATCGGACGAGGGAATGATGGTGAACCTGTATGCTCCAACCTAGGGGGTGCACGAATACCTACGAGCACTCGAATAAAGTGTCTTTTAAGCCGATTTATTTCCTGGTCGACGAGGAAGTGGTGGGATGAAGTTGGTGACGACTCAAGATGGTATATGATTTTCCTAATACCAGAGACACACCTAGTAAGCGTGTTGTTTCTATGTATTACAGTATTTAATGGCCCCATACCGTTCGGCCTAGATCGTTGCTTGTGCCGGACCGACCAGAATGGTAGAGGTCCAGAAGCTAACAGCCTTGTAGGATGCGGTGGGAGTTCGCATCCAGCAATCCTACTAAACGCCTGTTCAGCCGTAGCTTTCCAACCAAAGTCGTAGGCTTCGGATCGTGGACTTCCCACTTCCCACTGCCAATTTATGCGACATACGCGAAACTGCCTGGCTGATCTCGGCTGCCAACGGTGATGGCACGGCGGCAACTACTGCAACATCTCCGGAAGCATTCGCAATGGTGGGTCGCAGCATCACATCAACTGGTTGTCGGCCTTGCGAATAGCTGAAATGTACGGACTCCGATCTGATATCCATCGGGCCTTCATCAGGTACATCATCCTTCTCTGCCGTGAGAAGCCCAGCTTCCTCCATTTCCACCTGCTCCGGTTCAAGGTAAGTCTGCCCTTGCCGTAGATGTGCCTTATCGACTTCTAAATCTGCCTTCTCCGGAATGAAGGGTACCGGGCTAGACCGGTCAGAGACAGCGCTCAGCTCGATGCTTTGTCTCCGCGACGGATTAGTCGAGCTGCTTGTGCCGACGTCGAAGAGTGTCTGGTTCTCCTCGGTATCCGATGTATAAACCTCACGATCTCTGACTGAGGTGACTTGGAAAATGAAAGAGACATCTACCCCTGCACATGATCCCAGTCGCGTGACGTGATCGATGTGATCTCGATATAACAAAAGCATGCGCCGGTTGCGGATGATGTGGTGAAATCGGATTGTGTGAACGGCATTTTGATTCGACAGCAGCCCCAAAAGAAGGGCATACGTATAAGATGCGCGGTTCCCAGTCGAGATGAAAACAATGATACCATTTGTTGATAAGCATGGCGGATTGCCAAATGGGCCGGACACGAACACTTGTAGTGAAGGTGCCGCGGCTTCTGCATTCTGTTGCCATAATCGGTCTGTAAAGCCTTTGTGTCGTTTGATTATAAAGACTGCGGAGCGTTGGTCATCCTGAATGTTGCTGATGGTGAACGGGTGTGACTGAAGAAGCGATATTCCCGGGGCCTGGAGCATGACGTGCTGGCCAGGTCTCCAACGGAGGGATGTGTTGCGAAGTTCAAGTTCGAGGTACTCATTATCGAGAGCCTGCAAGTGACCAACATGCCCAAGCTTGGATTGCGATTTAGATGTTAATGGATACCACGCATTATTTCTCATCCACAACAATGTCCTGCCCACAATATCGAACGAAAGTAGTATCAACGACGCCAGAACGAAGTACGTCGTACATCGCGTGTGAATGTAGGTCAATGCCAGTGCAGCATATGCGCCGAGAATATGACTAACGACCCATGTTTCATAGAATCGAAAGCGAATATAGCGCCAGCCAGTGAAAACCATCAAGATCATGGTGCCCCAGGCCGCAAAGCCCCACAGAGCCATAGGTAGAATCTGGAGTTGCCGAACAATGCTTTTGGTGAGCCCCCACTCGTACACGAAGAAGAACGCGTGCAAGAAAAGGGTCATCACCATGAACCTGGCGATCCATCGATGAAGCCAATTGATTCTTTCGTATGAAATCCCGGTCAGATATGTAATTGGGCTAACTTTTATGGCTGTGGCATACAGAAGTGGAAGCTGGACAGTCGAAACCCATCCAGCGCGAAAAGCAACAACTTCCAGCTTGATCTTGTAGAGGTCTGAATGAGACCTGAAGATGACATTTGTCCACATGAGCGCCATGACAAAGGAAAAGTACGTGGCTAGGAACATAAACTCGCCACGCGACGGCACAGACAAATGATGCTGGTAATACTCTGGTAATGCAAGGCGAGGATAGATTATCTGTCGCAAGGTAGCTTGAGAGCTATGTTGCCAGGAGGCATGGCGCGATTTTGACACATTGACTCGTTGGGCCCGGTTTCTTAGTGTACTACTCAGGTGAGTGTACGCGGCAGTAGGTAGCTGGGTGAAGACTTACCAATATTTCTGTAGGAACGATACAATGCGCTCCGCGGTATAAAGCAGTATAACAACAAGTACTGTTCCCCAAAATGTCAATTTAACAATGCCATTGTTGCGGGTGTAGTAGCCCTCCCCCTTGTCTTCATGTCCATCATGACGGGTCCAAATTTTGGAAGGAGTCATGAGCGGATGGACGCAAGAGTAGGCCGAGATACCTGAGTAAAGAACGCCTCAAAAAAAGTCTAAGAGTTGTCACCTCCAGACGGGTGTGCTTGGGTCTAGACTGTTCATCCTAAGGATCCTGAGGACGATGGAGCAATAATAGCACGAAAATGCACACGCACACTCACAGTACTATTGTTGAGGCGGGTTCGGCAAGCGGAATTGAAGGGAGCCAAGAAACCTGCTCACATCCATCTATCCAGTGGCTTATTGGCTCAGAACCTCCCAGCTTTGACTCCACTCCAAGAGGCTTGCTAGTTAGGGAGGCCGTCGCATCGTCTGCAACGGAATGAGTCGATAAAGATGTACTCATACGAGTAAGCGTGTCAACAAGGAGCAGGAAAGGGGTGTCATATCGAAGCCGCTTAAGCTTGATCAATCAACTTTTCGTTCTTGTGGATTCTGAGCTAGAAGCCTCAAGTTAGCCTAGAGGAAGAGGCTTGTCTCACGCTACGGTCAACACTAGCTGTCCCCTTAATAAGTACGATTCCTTGCTTCCGGTGGCATTTATGCTCTTCTGATGGCGGTAGGCACCAGCATGCATGCTGATGCCAACAAATTTCATAACATCTTTGAAGCCCAAGTGTCTTTGACTGTATCGAACTCTCTAGCCACATGCCCTTTAGTCTCCTTTATCCATGAGTCAATAGACTCGACCATGAAAACTAGGCTATACAATGATGCTGTGTAGAGGCTAAATAACAGCGCTTAAGCGTTAAATCTATCAGACTTGAAAGCTCCATGCATGGCTCATTAGCTGCGAAGTTCGGTGCTGTTAAGGGCTACCTTTATCGCTGTCGGCCACTGGGCTATTAATGTTATTACGAACTAGGTCACTGGAAGGGTCGCCAAGGACAAGCCACCTACACTCGAGGGAAACGAGGAAGTTAGCCGATGGAGAACGAGGCTACGTTACGTGACTAGGGAATAGACTATAGAGGACTATAGACTACGAATATAGTCTAAGTAAGTCTATAGTCTAGGCTAGTACTATATATATACGCTTACT